TTACTGACGTCAAGACTGATTACATGCATTCATTTAGATACCAGAAGATCCATATTTACAACCATCATATTCTGAATATTGCTACCTTAGTTTAAATATAGTAGGAATACTATATAAGTATGTTGCACCCCAGTTTAAACCTACTTATTTATAACACATCTTGTGTGCAGGTTGAATAGGATGTGGCTGTTAACAGTTGAATTTCAGTACAAACAGCAGCACAGAAACTATTTGCATGGACAGATGCTTAGGTCTTACCTCAATATTTCACTTAAAAAAAAACATTCAGTTGGCGCAACAATTTTTTTTAAAAACCAGAATGTAACTTCCCACTCGGGTGAAATCCTTTGTTTTAAACTTCTGTTTGCGGAATTCGTCATGAATGACGAAGAAAAAAAGATTCAATTTACTATCCCCTTTTGCTTGAAATTAAACAATATATGATCTGGAAACTGTTTCTCCATCAAATACGTGAAATACAAACAGCAACTCAAACTAAGTCAACAAACCGTCAGGTCACTTTTAAAGTTATATTGTGCACTTTGGTAATTTGAGTCAATTCTGATAAGTCTTGTAGCTCAGTGGTTAGAGCACTCACTTTGCAAGTGAGAGACCTGGGTTCGATTCCGGGCAGGGCGAAACCTTGGGCAAGTTTCCTTATCCCACACGCCAAATAATAATCCCTCAAGAAAAAAAATAATAAATTGCTCTCTTCGATCCACAACTGTTTGTGGGACACTGCTGTGCGCAATTGGCTGCCACGTTTCGCCCACAAATATACAGTCAATTCACTTTACAGCATATTCTGCGAAGCACTTTGAGACGTCGAGAAGACGCGAAAAGCACTGTATCAAATGCAAGGATTATTATTATTATCTAGAAGACATGAAAAGCGCTACAGCAAAATGAAGATTATAGCCTACTCACAATCAAGGCATTTGTCCAAGCTTCCACCACTCATCTTTAACTCTGCTTTACACAACTTTAAAGAATTAAAATTAATTATGACTACATCACACAGTCTGCAACGATTAGAACAATGCCTTCCCATGTCACAATACACCTGTCGGAAGCCAAGTTACAGTCAAACCAAATCTATAAACCTGTCCTACTCAGTTCACACGGTGCAGTTAAATTTAGATCGGTGATTATTTCAAGATCAATCTTCTGTTTAAACAGAGTTACAGAAAATGGGCTATTGGGAGTGGTGAAGGGCTACAATTCGAACCAATGATACAGCACCTCCAGACTGGGATCAGTTGACAGCAGAAACTGTGTAGAGTACGTTAAATCACTATGAAATCTGGAAACAATCCAGACATTATCATTCAAATAGGGACAAAAGTTTAAACAAAATACGAGTTGTTTCCGCAGGAAAAGATGCCAACAAAAAGATTTAATAGGACTTAAACAAAACCCAAGTAGGGTTAAACACAGTAGGTTATTGTGAGAGCCACTGCCAATCTTGTGAAAATTGGGAGATTTACCACAAGACAGTATAGTGATTTCCTAAAGACACTTCCATTTTTTTAAACTCAAAAAATTTAAATTGCTCTTTTATTTCATAACCCAATATCGGCCTGGTATGCTCTTGCACATACGTTTCGAGCAACGAATCCTGAATTTCAACTGGGCAGGTGACATATTGTTAAAAATATTTCATGGAAGAAAGCTGGTGGCTCACTGTACAACTTCCTGTTTAATTGTCCATCATCTTTCAGAGCAATGTGCTGACATCACACGGAATAAGCACCTGCTCAGAAACTCCAATAACAACTTGAATAATCTATTTTAAATAGCACACTGATACTACCAAAAAACCTTTCAACCAGCCTTTTAGATTCGCTGCAATTACATTCACCGAAAGATTATTTTAATGTGATCATTTCGCTTCAAATTTAATTAAAACCTAAGAGAGAGAAAAGACCACAAACACCCTTTTGTGCTTCAGGCCAACACTTCGAGATACCTTTTCGTAAATGTACAAACAACACCCCTCCAATTTCACTGAAACTGCTCTGGGTCGCAGCGAAACATTCAGCGCACTTGGAACTTATTTAATGGCTATTTTAAAGCAAAAAAAAAAAACACTACCAACACTTAAAACAGCGCGTGTAGTTAACACACCGAGTCGATGCAATCCCAAGGTTTGGATATCCCTGGATTCAGTCACTAGTTTGGGATTTATAATGAAGTTATACGTTCACAAAAAGTGCTTTGGCCTCGCAAGGACAACCTCGAGCCCCACGACAGGACGACGAAAGCCTCGAAAACCTCCTCGAATTGCAAGCTGCAAATAATATGGAGTTTCCAGTCTAATTTTACGGCCCCTCTTGGGAGCACCTCAGACACTCGACCGCCACACAACAACAAAAAAAAGATACTCGTGTGCGCACTCAGAAATACTCACTGGGGAAGTCGAAAAAAAAAGAGAGAGAGAGAGAGAGAGAGAGTGCACAACTGGAACGTGAAAAAGTTTTGGACTTCCATGACCAGTCCCCAACGGGTACACAGCCCCTGAATATCAACACTCTTCGGGGACAAAAGTTCAGCACAAAATGAAAGCAGCCACGCATCCTGATGAGGGGATTGTGGCAGCGAGAGAACAGTCACAGAGCCATGGAATTACAGGCACAGAAGTCGAAGGGGAGGGGGGAAGGGGGGGGGGGGAGAAAGGGGGGAAAAAAAGTCGAATTACACACTGGATGGGGGGAGGTAGTGGGGGGGACTCGTGAAACGTTTCAAAGTCGAAACATACCGCCGCGAACGTTGTTTTACGCGAACTTAAAAGAAGGCCATTTACAACATTTTTTTAAAAAAAACACACACCCCCCCCACCACAAAAAAACTGCCGATTTACCACCAAATTCTGGGAGTTGCAGTACTTTCCACGCACACACACACACACACAAAAACACACTACTAGATTAGCCATAAACAGGGTGTGGCTAAGAAATTGCAGGGCGATTTATGGCGGTGGGGGGTGGGGTTGGGGGGGGGGGGGAGAGAGAAGGAAGAAGGGGGGGGGGGGGGTCTTGTTTGCTACGAAATTGTTTCCCTCCCCTTACAGGAAAGTCGGTAAACTGTACGGTTCGCGGGGATTGGTAAAACCCGACAGGAAAGTGTCCAGAAAGCGTCCGGTTTTGTGCTGCATTAACAAACTCCCAACTGGTGGGAAAGGAACAGCGATGATGAGTCCCTCTCTGTCTCTCTCCCTCTCTCTCTCTCTCTCTGAGAGTGTTTACAACATTGTCACATGGACCCACCCGGACATGATCACAGCCATTTCTTTACTCCCTTAAGAGGATTATTTACCCTTTTCCCAGAGAGACAGACAGAGAGAGAGAGAGGGGAGGGGGAGAGAGAGAGAAAGAGAAAAACATCTCAACACAACGTTTACTTGGGGGGAAAAAAACACACACACACAAACACACGCAGAGAGACAGACACAGAACAAACATTTTTTTTTAAACGAGTTAAAATTCGCCCCAACCTCTCCCTCTCTCTCTCTCTCTCCCTCAACCTCCTTCCTTCCTTCCTTCCTCCTCTTCCCCAATACCCTCGATGGCAAATTTCAAACGATAACAATCCGTGGCTTTATATATATATATATACATTATATATATATATATATACACACACACACATTTCCGACAAGGAAGTGGATTGAATGTTAGTGTTAAAACCAAACGTTCGGCTCCCGAATACAGCGTCGTCGCCACACACACACACACACAAAAATATCTTTTAACGTTTGACTGATTAAACATCACACACATATATATATGTGTGTGTATGTGTGTATTTTATATTTTGGGGGGAGGGGGGAAAAAAAGTGGGATTTTTTTTTAGAAAAAATTAAGAAAAGGTGAAGATTTGAGAGTTTCTCTCGTGAGGTTATTGCTTTTATTTATTTAGATATATTTGTAGGTATAATTGGTCATATTTATATTTAATTGGTGAGGGGGGGGGGGGACACACACACACACACACAAAAGTGGCGCCAAAAAGTCTCTGTGTGGTGGGAGGGGGGGGGAGGCTTTCCCTCCCTCTCCCCCCCCCCCCACACCCCCACATTTTAAATCTAATTTACTTTTTATATATAAAAAAAATAAAAAAAATCATTTTATATAATATTTTGGGGGCCGCGAAGGAAAGGTGATCCCTCTCTCTCTCTCACTCACACACTCTCTCTCTCCCCCCCCCCCTCCCCACCCCGAACCCCTCCCCCCCCCCACCACCCCCCACCCCGGGGCGGGAGGGAGGCCTTTCCTTCACTAGGCCCCAACTGCGAAGCTCAAAATAACAAACGGCCTCGACACGACCCCCTTCTCTCTCTCTCTCTATTTCCCCGATCTTTTCTTTCTCTCTCTCTCTCTCTCCTCTCTCTCTCCCGGGCCTCGACCTTCTCCTTCCCCAGTCTCTCTCTCTCTCTCTCTCCCCCGATCTCTCTCTCTCTCTCTCTCTCTCCGCCCGCCACCCGGGGCCTTGACTTTTATTTTCCCCCTTTCTCTCTCTCTCTCTCTCTCCCCCTCTCCCGCAACCCAACCTCGAGGCCTCTCTCTCTCCTCTCTCTCTCTCTCTCTCTCTCTCCCCCTCTCTCCTTCCCGCCCGCGGCATCAACCACCACCACCACCGCCGCCGCCGCCTCCATCTTAAGGCGCCCCCCACCCACCCCGGGCCTCCCTGGGCCGAGACCACACAGACCCCGCCATCCGCGGCCTCTCCCTCTCCTCCCTCCCTCCCTCCCTCTCTCTCTCTTCTCTCTCTCTCCTTCCCTCTCTCTCTCTCTCTCTCTCCCTTTACACGGAAAAGAAAAATAACCGTCGACAACTTTATCCCCTCACACCCCTCCCCCTCGCGCTTGTTGTCGTCGTGTGGTAGTGGGTGGGTGGGGGGGGGGGGGGGTTGTATTTTATTTTATTTTTATTTTCTCTCCCCCCCCCCCCTTCCCCCTTCCCTTCCCCTCCCTCCCTCCCTCCTTCCAGAATATTCCTTACCTCAGTAACGCGTCGGTTGTCGTCTCTCTTCGCTGTGTGTAAATCTCTCTCCTCTCTCTCTATATATATATATATATTTCTCTCTTCTTCTTCTTCTTCTCTGTCGACATATATAGATGTATAAAAAAAATAATGTCCTTCTCCGAGGGAGTGTGTGAAGGGGGGAGGAGGAGGGGAGGAGGGGAGAGAGGAGGGAGGGAGGGAGAGAGAGAGAGAGAGAGAGGGGTCGGAGGTGAGAGGCGAACGTCCCGCTCCGTTTAAAAAAAAAGCCTCTGCTTTACATCCGTGTGTGTTGAGAGGGGGTGAAGAGGGGGTGTGAGGGGGGGGGTTGTAGAGAGGGGGGGAGGGAGGGAGGGTGAGGGGTGGGGGGGTCGTTGTGGAGGGGTGGGGGTGCTCTCTCTCTCTCTCTCTCTCTTGAGGCGATGGGGGGAGGAGGGGGTGAGAGAGGGAGAGAGAGGAGGGATAGAGAGAGAGAGAAAAAAAAATGGGGGGGAAAAAAAACTCCTCTCTTCTTCCTCTTCTCCCCCCTCTCCCTCTCCCTCTCTCTCCTCTTCCTCCTCCCTCTTCCTCCTCTCCCGCGGTTGTTTTTTTTTGTAATCGGGTTATTATTTTATTTTTCTCTCTCTCTCTCTCACACACACACACACTCACTCTCTTTCTCTTTTTCACTCACTCACTGACTCTCTCTCTCTCCGCTCTCTCTCTCTCTCTCTCTAAGCGGCGCTGCGCTCCGGTTGAAGGTGAGATGCCATCTGGCGGCGCCTCGTGTCTCTGCCGCCGGTCTCTCGCTCGCTCGACAGGGCGGGCGATGGCGGACAAAGAGCGGAGGGAGAGCGCCCCCTCCCGGCCCGGCCCCGCCCCGCCCCCGTCCCGATCACCTTCCGACCTCTGACGCCCCCTACAGGTCAGCCCTCGCAACGCATCCTCAATCCGCTTCCCACCCCCCACCCCACCCATCCCCCCCACCTCCCCACCCATCCCCCCACCCCACCCATCCCCCACCTCCCCACCCATCCCCCACCCCACCCATCCCCCACCCATCCCCCACCCATCCCCCACCTCCCCACCCATCCCCCACCCCACCCATCCCCCCCACCCCACCCATCCCCCCACCCATCCCCACCTCCCCACCCATTCCCCACCCACCACCCCACCCATCCCCCACCTCCCCACCCAACCCCCACCCACCACCCCACCCATACCCCACCTCCCCACCCATTCCCCACCCACCACCCCACCCATCCCCCACCTCCCCACCCACCCCCACCCACCACCCCACCCTACCCCACCTCCCCACCCATCCCCCACCCCACCCACCCCCACCCATCCCCCACCTCCACACCCATCCCCCACCCCACCCATCCCCCACCTCCCCACCCATCCCCCACCCCACCCATCCCCCACCTCCCCACCCATCCCCCACCTCCCCACCCTACCCATACCCCACCCACCCATCCACAACCTCACCCATACCCCACCCACCCCATCCACCACCCCATCCCCCACCCCACCCATCCACCACCCCACCCATCCCCCACCATCCATCCCCCACCCACCCATCCCAGTCCTGGTGCCCCCCCCTTTGTTTTGTCGGGCAGCGACCGCGAGCCTCGGGCTCGAGACGCCGCCCGGTCGGTCGGGTTCTCCGCCACGTGGCCGAGCGCTCGGCGGGGCCCGGCCGGGCTGTCCCCCCCCCCCCCCCCCACCCCCCCACCGTGAAGCGAATTGGCCGTAGGTTTTGCCGGGGAGAGGGAGAGACGCGGCAGCCCAATTGCGCTCAGGGGTGTCCCGCAGAAGAGTCAGGGAAACGAGTGACCAAATCGTCGTCGTCATTATTATTATTATTATTTTTTAAAAAAATTATTATTCGAAGGGGCCTATTAACCCCACGGAAAAGCGAGCCGCCCGTCGGCTAACGACAGGGTTCCTACGTACTGCTCGGCAAATGGGGGGGTGGGGGGGCGTGTGGAGTAACAAACGTTGCCCAACGTTTTCTCCCTGACCCGGGAATCAAACCTTGGTCCTCCCGCTGGCGAGGCGAGCGCTGTAACCACTGAGCTACAGGACTCCACTCCTGGCCTTGCTTTGCACCCACTCTACCCACATGGCAGGAAAATGCCTTGTTGCAAGCGAGCAATGGGGTGGGGGGGGGGTTGGGAGTGGGACTCTCTTTCTCTCCCTCCAACCCCTTTCTCTCTCCATTCCCTCGGGCGAGTCCGGCCCCGGGAGAGAGACCGCGTTCCATCCCGGGCACGGGGGAAGGAAGATTTCCGTGCGTTTGTGACATACGTACATACATGCATGCATGGACGGCACTCTCTGTCCGGCCTGGATACTCTTCAGGTTGGCGATGGGTCTCCACACATGTCAGACCCAAACTAAAAGTGTTTTTTTAACCAAAATCGAAATGGCGGTGGAGGAGGTGGAATAAATGTTTGTCACCGAGTTAAATAATAAAAGGCAACTCCATCAGCCCTGGAGCGATGAGAGTCGTCAATTAGTGTCTGTTTGGCTCAATTCCAATTTATATACTTCAGAGTTCGACCCCCTACTCCCCCCCCCCACTGATAAAATTGGTTATGTGCTTTATGGTGGTTTGAGAGACATTACTGTGCAGATTGGCTGCCAATTACATTGGAGAGGCCGGTTTCTCGCAGATAGTGCAGAAACACAAAACAAGCTGTTTGTAAATGCTTTCCATTTTTGGAAAATATTGTTCTATTTATGCACATAATAATCTCTTCACCTCAAGGCGCACAAGCAGACAAAACACCGATCCAAATACAACAGCCTAATTGAACGTGGAGAGGAGAGCTTGCAGAAAGCGTGGTGCTGTTGAGTTTATTAGAGAATGAGCGAAGTGCACTTCTACAATTCTTACTTTATTTTGGTGAGGAGGGATGATGTTACGTCAAAAAAAAAAAGAGCTCTAACGCTTGGTGAATATGCAGTATACATTTTTCTATCTGGAGAATTTTTCTCTTAACAGGTAAACTTGTGTGTGTGTGTGTGACTCCAACAATATCTTTGTGTACAATTTGCACATTCAAACAGATAAGAATTTAATTCAAGGTATCCAGATGGGGTTGACTGTGAAAAAGGTATTATTAATGCCCAGTGCACGTGGATTTCTGCTGGGTATGCAATTGGATTTTAGGTTTACAATAAGTTGAACACTCATGTAATACTGGTGTATTCATCTTATGCTTCACAATAGACAAAATGAAAGTAAGTGCTAGATATCAAAGTGTAAACATATTCAGTTATACCCGGCTTCAGTACAACTGGAATGGATGTAGCAAATATTAAATTACACGTTCTGAATATAAATAATATTTCTAGAAAAATTGGTAAGGCACAATTGACTTATTTGGAAGTTAGTATTTTGTAAACGAAATTGGAAGGAGAGACAATTAATTTTCTATGAAGCAGCAAAACTGGAACATTATTCCCATTATTCACGGGGTTTAAATCTGTGTTTTTCAGCTCAATTATATTTCTGGGTTAATGAGGCATGTCATTCTCAACTGGGGGAGAAGCAGGTGTCTTTGCAATTTACCGAAGCATCATTAGCATTTCACCGTTGCCCACTTTTCTGCACACATATTCATTCTTGTATGTTTTCTCCATTTGTTTACAAAGAATCCGGGTGAAAGTTTTTGAATAAATAATTGAGGTGATAACTCACCTCACAAGAGGCAATTGCAGAATAAAACACGTATTTTTTTGGTGCGTTGAGCATTTCCAACAACATTTATATAGTGCCCTTCAAGCAGATAGCATCTTCCAACATATGAAAATAAAGTTAACACTATTTATTATAACAAAAGTCACAGCAATATTGACAAAAATACTGAAAACATGATTTAAAACCAGAAAATGCTGGAATTCATAAAACATTAATTAGCACCTGATAGGATAAGACAGGTTAATGGTTTGGGGGTCAACCCTTCAACAGAACTTTTAAAAAAAGCGTCTGATCCAAAACATTAGGTAATGTTTCTTGTTCAGGCACTGAAACAGGATTTTCTGTTTCCAGGACAGCAGTTCTTGATGTAATGCCACAAACACATAGATCAAGTTAAAGCACACTGTGCAACGACAACAACAAAATTACATTTGTATACTTATATTGGTTATCATTGAGTATAGTTTACAAGAGAACACAGAACTATTGCCCTGTTGGAATTAAAGTAGAGAAGAAATTAACAGAAACCAAGTTCTGTATCACTGGAGTTGGTATGAGTCCAGCTGGTTTCCTTGCGTAACAATTCCACCTGGTTGATCAGTAAATTAATAAATGCAATGATTAACCACATGGAAAAGTTACATGCAGTGATGACTCTACAAGAACCACTGCGGTCGGTGTACAGCAAAACTGACGTGAAAATGGGGAACTCTCAGATTGCCTTTGCCAGGGCTCAGTCAAGAATATAATTTAATCTGGCAAAGCTTTAGCTTTTGTCACATGAAGTTAGTTGTACTACGTGGCGATTTGGCTGCATTTTGGGTATTTATTTGCGGAGGAGCAATGTAGCTCTGTACAGCGCCATGATGATACCCCGTCTCTTTGAAAAATAAGTTTTAATGTAAAAGCAGCAAAACATCAGGCCCCCCCACCCCACCTCCCACCATGGACAGGTGGACTTTGAGCCACTCTGTCTCGCTCTCTGGAACTCCAATCCAGAGATCCTTCAACCTCCTCCCTCCCCTCATTCAAGCTCCGTCTCGGGATGTACCCCTTTGACCGTGTGTTTGGGCATCCTTCCCGTTCCCCTTTGATTTCCACCCTCAGCTCGGGGCCTAAAATGCTGTACATAACACTGATTAGAATTTCAGCCTTCTGGAGTATTGTATGCAGTTCTGATTACCTGAGAGGTACAAAGGTGAACAACAAAGATTATTGCAAGTATCAGGAATTTAACAAAGTTAAGGCAGATTCTTTTTGGACAAGAGACCTTCGGATGATGCAACTGAGATTTTCAAGATTACGAAGAGGATTGATAAAGCTGATCATGACGATTTATTTACCGCGGCGTAGGGTTCAAACCTTAGGGACTGGAGCACACATTAGGGAATAAGGTATGCAAAAGCAGTCAATCAGAACATTTTGGCAGAGACCTGCGAATCAAGTTGCCAAGGAACGCTGCAGTAGCAAATACTATAAAAGAGTTCAAGACAGCCAGATGCATTTTGAGAGAGAGTATTGAGGAGTAGAGCGAGAAGGGAAGTAGGCGAGGATGAGATCAATTTCACAGTCACATGTGAATAGGCTTATCACGTCTGTACAAGCCGTCTTGAAGGGACGCAGTGGCGCATTAATCAGTAAATTTCCTACTTCTTCTTTCCCTTTGATCTTTTTTCCTCTCCCTTTCCCTGCCTCCAATTTTCTCCCCAAGGTGCTGCATGTGATGTCTCACTCTCACGTATCAAACGGTGCACTATTTTTTTTTTGAAGTTCAGAACTGTCAGTTGCTGAAACTGTGCCAACGTGCATCAGAGCCAAATCTTAAAGGGCTGCTTGCATCTTTGCACTGCAAATTTGAAAGCCATCCAAAAAAAAGCAGAAGCTAAATGCAACGAGAAAAGTCGAAAAACATCTAAAAATTTCATCCGGACAGTATTGCATTTTTTTTAAAAAATGCATTTCTTAATGAGTTAGGAATTTTAAATCTAACACCAGGTGTTACCTGTTTCAGCAGTTTTGTTTTGACTGATAATGGAGCTTTGCAGTGTTGCTGCCAATTTAGTAAATGCTGCAATTTAGAGCCAATGTGATTATCAGAGCTGCTCCCTGTCCCAGGGGAATATTCAGCATGTTTGGGCACATAGATACATACACACAAGGTACACACATCTATTTTCCATACCCAAATCACCAACGGCTGCAGAAGTCTGGAGAAAATCTGATTTAATATTTTTAAGGCATTGATAGATAGCACAATAGCACAGAAACAACTTTTTAAAAATATATATATATATCCCACGAATTCACAGATGCTCTCAACAACAAAAATGATAGATTAAAGATGAGTGACTCAATGATGTGAGGCAGATCAATCTAAGATTCAAACATCTGTAAAATCCAGTCGTATTTCTTGTCACCAGTGTGAGAAAAAGAGTGCGGGGTGGGGGGGAGAGAACTGGAGAGGTTGGAGAGGCCTACAACTAAAGAATACACCAAAGGCAATCAGTAACGTTAACACAGTTATTAAACCTTTCAATAAAACTTTCAATTCGGAAATCTCTCTTATTTGCATCCGAATCATACTACAGGTACTTGCTGCACTGAACCCAAAAAGGTGTTTGAAAATTAACAGACCAGAATATAAGTTTTGTAATTGATGCCAGCGACTGAACTTTAAACTTAATTTTAAGGACCAAATCCACATTTGATGTTTTGAATCTAAAATGGGAGTTTGCTGCTTCACAGCACCAAGTAGGAAGGCACATGGCTAAGAGATTGGATGGAAGGGGACAGGTTTTTTTCTTGAGAGCAGGGTTACAGGTAATTTTGCTACAGCTGCATGTTTTACCATTTTGAATATTATGTTGTCGATACTCTCTTGTGAATGTTGAATGCAATTAGAGCAGCACCGCAGCTCCATGGAAAATATTGCACGGCAAAACTATGGGGTATGTTTACATCAGGACCACTGAGGGATTGAGAGTCAATGGAGATGGCCAACTTATTTCAGTTATAGCTCATTTTAGACTGTGAGGCATGTTAATATATTCAGAATCAGTTCAACTGTTAAGAAGATCTACTCAGCAGCTGCTCTAACCAGATCACTATTGCAGATAAACGTTAACATAACCCATCACGCAGTATTTGCTCTAATCGCTTCCTGTCACTTCTAAACAGCCAACAGGCAGCCCACCACAGTGCTTAAAAACCTCCGAGACAGTTTTCTCCCCTCCAAAAAAAAATATAAAGAACCTCCCGTTGACAATATACGTTACCGAGGTGTTGAATTATTCCACTGAATAACTTCGATTTAGGTAAGACGAAACACCCCAAAGCTTACAAAATACAATTGATCAGAAATGAAGTGAACATCATTGTTGACAAATGCGTCAGGTGCCCTGCGCACCCACCATCCCATAAGCAATGAGATGAACAAATACTTTTAATTTGGACTAGGAAGGGAACACAAATCTGGATAGCACCCGGAGAGACTGTTGCGATCGAAGAGCAATAACAGACAGCGCTTTCCTTTCAGAATATAAACCGAAAATAATCTTGCAATTCAACCGGAGCAGAAGTGACCAGGACGACAGGGTCAAATTGCCAAGCACTGCAACATTTTGAAGCCTGTGACATAAGCGTCACTTTTCATCTTTAAGAGTAACCAAATTGCCCATTGATGCTGATTTCGAAGACTCTGGCGAGTAAGATTGAAACCAGCGAAAGGCCAATCCAGGAGCAATCCAATCAACTGAGGCATTCGCAATGCGAGGCTGAGGTTTGGGTCAGGGAGCAAAGCTAAAGAAACGGCCTGGGTCCAAGTACTTTCTCACACGGCAAAGAAATCGAAACAGAACAGTGCACAAATTTATCGTATTGAACCGTGAAATTCGGGGTGTTTTTTATATCCAACTTGCTTTGATTTTTTTTTCATATAAACTGAGGACACGCGTAATTCCTCGGAATCCTACCAGGATTGCTGTTGAAATGGTCATTAGAACAGGTTGACCCTGCAAATTTTTCAGCTTTGTGATGAGCGACAATGCTGCATTTCCATTCAACACAAGCGAGGGATAGTCATGTAGATTCAAAAGAAAATTTAACGATCAGCTTTTATTATGCACAAGTTCTGAGCAGCAAAACAATTCATTCTTGCACAATTACTTTAAGAAAAAATATTTAACAGAGTAATGGACAGTAAATTAAAACATAGCAAAATCGAAGTACATTTTGAAAACAATATGGTATATTTACCAAAATTATCCACTTGTCACAGCCATATTAAATATTCGCTAACGATCCTGTTAATTCTTTATTTGACATTTACTGAAAGAATGAACTAGTTTTTTTTTTAAAAAATGACCAAAATGGATCTGCGCACTCATTCCCACGAGTTCGACCAAGAATCTAGTTCTAGCATCTTAATTTTATACTTTCTTGTGCGACTTGGGATGAGTAGAAAGCAACGCCTCTCAGTTTAATTTAACGCCAATTTATAAATAGCTTTTAAAAGAAATGAAATCTTAAAAAACTGATTGTAAGAATTAAACGCTCTACATTTGCGTCTTAAAGCAGCTTGATTTAGTTTATTATAAACAAGACAAGTTCTCAATATTCTGTGCCATTGTTTTACAGCACAACATTCGGTTAGTGTTCTGCTATGTAGGGCAGGATTGAAGCAGCCGTTTCAGTTACACCATGGACTTAATTGTCTGGTCCATGAGAGAACCTAAAAAGTTATTTCAGGTCCCATTGGTCCACAATTTCAGTCCATACAAATCATTTGAAGTTACTTTTTTCACTTTTAGTTCCAATCTTATTTATCAATATTATATAAATATTGCACCTGTGACTATAATTCTAATACTAATATATACAATTCCAAAAATTACCTTTTGAATTAGAATTTCAAATGAAACTTAGAATCTGTACTGAATGCATATATACTTTTTCAAAAATCCACAATTCCCCTTCCCTGGAACCATTTTGCCACAATGAGTTTACTTCAGCTTTTAATGGGATGCTTTATTCTGTAGATCAAGGCACCATTAGTACTTTGTGATAGGATAAAAAGGCACAAACAAGCTAAGCAGGTTTTCCTGAATTCTCTTACAGAAAGATGGGAGTGTACTACTTATCTGGCAGCATGCCAAGGACTGACATAACAACCATGGCGTGCAAATTTGATTAACACCCAACATTTTTAATCCTTGCCAAACCATTTCAAAAACTGCATTACATACTTTGCACTGTGCTGCCAGCTCAATACATTCACTTAAGGTGCATTTTAAATTTGCACAATAATGGTGGAAGGAGAATGCAACCGACTAAAATTGAATGTTCCAATCTAATGTACTTGTGTATTTATTCAGCCAAGTGATTGAGGAAGCCTAGATATGATTGAGGAAACCTTCCTGTAAAAGCACATACCTAAGGAACAATGTTGTCAGTTTAAACAAGAATGCTACTACATAATTTTAAAAATGAAAATACATTTGAATAAGAACAAATGACAAGCAGAATGAATGGCAGCTCCACTAAATAGCTAATATATTAACTTCAGTATTATATATATCCATACAATGTTAGATACTGTACATGTTCTTCAGGTAACAACAACTTGCACTTATATGGCGCCTCCAAGCAGGGTACCATCTCAGAGTGCTTAGAAATCAGTATTTATTACTTTATAATCAAAAGGAACATGATTTGTAGGTAAAGAAGACTTTCATATAAATTATGGCGCATGATCAACCACCAAGAGTTTTCCAACATAATAGACAATGTCGTAGTAATAGTGAATTTCTGCCCAACTTTTAAGAAACCTGTGGATTTGGCACTAATCTAGTAAATACCATTTACAGAGAAACCCTGTTATAGAACGCAATTGGCTGGGTTCATTGTCTCAATGTCATAAGTGAGGTGCGGAAAAATGAGGGACTTCATCATTAGGGTTACCGCTGACATCACATCCTATGTATTGTGTGTGATGCACAGGAAGAACTACAAATGTCACTTTCAGGATACTGTACATGATATTAGTGGCACTTCTTGTGGATAGCATGTATGCACAGGCCACCTCCAACAGTGCAGCCTAAACAGGATATTATTGGTGTGCATAGGCTTAATAAAATCTCAGCAAATTTAATTATAGTAAAACCCTTCAGATAAATTATATTTACTTAATAGCAAAGCTATCGCTCAGTTATTAAGACATGTATATTCTAACTTTCTCTTGAATTTTCACGCAACATATAGGGCAACTGGAGACAGCAACAGAACATTCTTTACAAGTCGCGACATGACCACAGGGTACAAAGGCAATGGAAACATCTCGTTCCCAGCAAACTTTGCAACACTTCTCTTCCTTCAACTTTTTCAACTGGTCTTCCATGCTTATACCTATGAAGATTAATAGTGAAAAAGCAATGTTAAAACAAGAACTCAATGTTAGAGAAATTTGAACTAATTTATCCTTTTTAAAACCAAAGCATAACATTGAACACAAAAAGCATATGATCATAATACAGGAACAGAGCAAAGTTCAAACATAAGCATATCAATGGAAAGGTAATAATAATCCTTGCATTTGATATAGCACCTTTACGTCTCAAAGCGCTTTAAGAATGTACTGTAAAGTGAGGTGACTGTATATTTTATGGGCGAAACATACAGATGCTAGTGTTAAAACTATGTATCCTTCAAAGAATTCTATATAAGTGTTTTAATTCCCGCCCTCCTTTAACTTATAGAACTCTTTCATTTTAGGAACATTTAAGATTCCTTTCTATTTCCCTCGTCGTCTCCTGAAGGTGCTGCACTGTAACCTTTTGGCCAATCTTCATACACCAGTCCAGACAATATATATCAGCAGAAAATTAGTGCCTTTTAATGAACGTAATGTAGAGAGATATAAACCATGGGAAAGCCACAACATATCCCCTGGCTACAATGAATATCTCCATTTAATTTGCAGACCATGATGTTTTCTCACCCACTTCTCCATTTTAAAAGTTAAATGAAATGGGTTGAATAGCAAGTAAAAACTCCAACTTACTTTTATTTGGTTTGTCACCCTGTTCCACATCTTGGGTTCCTCCTTTTTCAGCTATCAGTAGATCTGCAACAAGAGCTTGAACAGATGTGTAGTTGTCACCCATTGCCTGAAATTTTTTTTTAACTAGCTCTTTCACCAGCGATCTGTCAAAACCCATTCCAAGAGCACCCTGAACTGCAGCGGTTGTCATTAGCCGGTCTTCTGAAAGAGCAAGTAGAAAACGCACATGAGGATATTAACAGTGACAAAAAACATCACAAAAAAAATCCCATTGGATTGCAAACAGAAGAATGAGAATAGATACCCAAGGACGGGATTGAAAAGAGAGAGAATGCTGGGTGAGAACAGTATCAGCTGTGACAGCCCATAAAGCATTCTGCCATGTCAGCCCACCCCAACAGGCCAGAGGCATAACAAGTCATCAGCTGCAATTTAGAAACAACTGTGCATGCATAAATTCATGCATGGATGTTTGCTTCAATATTGCCGCCAGGCTCTGAATTCCTCTCGGCCTCTTTAATGCAGTGGAATCCAAACAGCAGCAGCCCAAGGCGCTTTAGAACTCGTTCAAGTAAATCCCAGCACCAATCGATTTTTCGAAGACATTTCACAATTCTAATCTGCAGGAAAAAATGGGATTAAGGTGTAAAAAATATTTAGCAGTATGTAGAAAAAATTCTAACCTGGTTCCGGTTTAGAAAGATAGTCTTCTGGTAACACTCCAGTCTGGAATAAAATTACATGTTAATTCTCGTATTGATAAGTCTACCCCCTTTTAGAATCACATTCTTGCAAACAAGGATTGAAATTTAATACCAATGTCAGATATCACAAAACTCAAAAACTCGTGCTTTATTTGTTTCTCATATTGAAAATAGATTCACCTATTTGATAAGCACAAGTGGCATCAGTTTTTAAGGGGGGTTTTAGTCCTTAAGATAATCTTCTGCATTGCATACAGATATCTAAAGTGACCAGCGTATGTATACTTGATAAGAAACAGAAGTTCAGAAAACACAGATTGTTGAATTTTATTAAGTATGAATTCACCTGAATCTGATTAGAAGAGCTACATTAAAACAATTATATACTGTAACTTACCGTAGAATTGAACAATTTCTTTAACTGAACTTCATTCACAAAAACCTGGCCTTTATGATGAATCAGAAAATCACAGCTGCAATGATAAACAGTAGAATTATTTCTCAGGAGTTTCTACAAATAGTACTAATAATCCTTGCATTTGACATAGTGCTTTTCATGTCTTCTGGGTGTCTCAAAGCACTTCACAGTACTGTAAAATAAATTAACAGTTTATTTGTGGGCAAACGCGGCAGTCGTGGATTGAGTGACCAAATTTTTTTTTGAGGGATTATTATCGGGCGTGTGGAGTAAGGAAACTTGCGCACGGTTTCGCCCTGGCGGGAATCGAACCCAAGTCTCTCGCTTGCGAGGCGAGTGCTCGAACTACTGAGCTACAGGAAATAAGTCAATCTCAGATTAAATTCATAGTGATTGAAGCAATTTGCTCTCCAAATCTACATTTTTAGAAAATGTCATCCCAGTCCTAAAACAACCACAATATTCCTGGAAAAAGCAACTACAAAATTCAGGACCAAATAATTTATTGAATAAAAATAGCAGTAGAAAAATGGCTTAACACCAATTCTTAAGTCTTTTTGTATATTATATATATTTAATAGAGAGAGACAGAAACTAATTTGAAGTTTTCAATGGGCTACAAGACCTCAAGGGTGGAGGAAGAAGTGTGGAGAGAGAGCAGGGGAGAAATATAGAGAATTAAGAAGACTAAAGCACTGCCACATCAGTTAATATTTAATTAATTACTCCACATTAAAAGTGGTGAATATGTGGAAAGAACACAGGGAAACTGCAATGGGATATTGTGTCTCCAAAGTTGAGAGGGAAATAGATGGCTATTTGGTGGAGAAATTGAAGGGAATGATAAAGAGTTGTGTTGGTCTTTTTTAATATATATATATATATATATGTAAGAACACTTTGATTTAATTAACATTTTTAAGTTTGGGGGCTGCCACATTGACCACAACCACCCATTGGAACTATCCATTCCAATATTAAGCACTTTACCCTGGAAACCATTTTGCGTGCTGTTCCCAGATGTCATCACCAGATTCCCAATTTCTCAATCCTCCATCACAGTAAAAACACTTCACGCTGTCTCCATCACCTGAAAATGAAAGAATAACATTTCTTATTGTGTGCTTTAAACTGTTTTAAAGCTGTCTGTAATGTCCAGTGCACACTGCACCTTCAGATAACCATATGAGATAAGGACTTCCATTTTCTAACAGAGCAGAGACAATAAGATAGAAATCAGGATTGTTCCCACCCGAGTTCAAGAGAGGCAAGAGCACTTGTATTGCCTGTACTTAGGTTTGTCTGAGATCTCTCTGTTCCACATTGACTCTGAGTTGATCCTGCCATGCACAATACAATTCAAATCTACACTGCTGATGGTGCAATAGTGGGAGCATAGTGGGGATGAGAATAACTGACTTGGCAAAGAGGTAGGTCTTCAAATGGAGCGAAATTATCATAGATAGGCCTAGCTGCTCATGGGATCTTCTGAGACGAGAGTGGGTCACAATTATAATTGCATTTATATTGCACCGAGTGCCCAAACCTCAAATGAATTAATCGAAAAGGTTTTCAGGCAATTAATCATCAATATGGTTTCCCAGAAAGTTATTGAGTTTAAAATTTCCACAATTGAAAAAGGAAAGAGCATGAAACTTTGCCTTCCTGATATGAGAAACTGACGATAAGCAGAAAAGGGATGTTTAGGATGGATCCATTGTGACTAAAAAGATTAATCTTCAATCAAAGAAATGGGTGTGACTTCCATGTGACAGAAATTAGACAATTTAGCACTTTCCCTTTTTGTATAGTACAGCAATACAGCAGTTCATTAAACTGATTCCCACCTGTGTATTACAAAAATGTTTACAAACTGCAAATAAACAGGCCATGTTGTAGTACTATCAATCAGGCCAAATGAATGTTTTGCTACATTTCATATTTTGTTCCTTATTATTTATTATTAGATCATCCCCAGCAATATTGTGGTTATTGAAGGAGGGTACGACAGTTATTATTTTTGCAAAGTGGCTCTTCAAGTTGAACAGGATTTTGTTTAGGCTTTTTATTTATTTTCTATTCCCCAAAATGCTCAGTCCTTTCCTGAAGGCAATGAAGGAACAGCTCTACTGCTCCTTATTGCAATTCATTGACCCATGCTGGAAAGTGTGAACATTCAGCAAGATTAGAATTCCCTGTGATGCCCTGCCACAAGCAAACAGCCCACAAAAGTATTCAGACTAAACTCATGCATGCAACAATGAGCATGCAGGCAAGTTACTGAAACATTACTGATGGCTCTGAATGAGATGCAAGAATATAGGAAATGCAGAACAGTGAGCCACCTCTGCCACAAACCACTTTATGATCTACGTCCCACAGCCTTTCCTATGCCACCTTCCCACCATACCCCTTAATATGTTTACTTCCCAAGAATCCACCCATTTCTCGCTCACTCCCTTAACCAAATTCCTCAGCAGACTTTTCACCTATAACAGGATGAAAAATAAAAGATTTTAATCTGACAGAATGCTTCAGTTGCATGAAAGAAATGCAATTTGAAAACGTGCAAAGTAACAAAATCCTGTTCAACTTGAAAATATGCTGTATTTAGATTTTTAGTACCTGTGCTGTAAAAACCAGCTCTCGCAAAGTCTTCAACATTATGAAAGTAACCTGCTGACGACCTGAAGGTTTCGAGGCGTGCATCAAATGTCTGCTTGTCTGGGTGTCTGGGAAAACTGGAAAAGTTTGCTCTTGGTTCGTTATTACTTGAAGGGTGGATTGCACCTGCAGTACAACTATTTTGTTCATGGGGTATATTACCAACATCATATCCCAAAACGAAGGAACACATGGGATAATGTCTCTTGTGCTCTAACATGGCTCGATCTCCAGGTTCCCAGTTTTGCATTAATCCACCACAACTGAAGCATTGAACCTGATCATTATTACTGGTATAGTAAAGTCCTGCTTTGGCAAGTTCTCTCGGAGCTACTATGCCATAGCTAGGCCAGTTACTGAAGGTATTCATTCGATCTTCTTCATTACACATGTCAGGATTTCTAGGTCGTAGATGAGACATGTCTTCAATGCTTTTAGTTCTCACCGCATCATCAATAGGAGAACTTAAATTATTTAATTGTCTATTAATATACCTAGGGGTTCCATTCTCTAACAGTTGATGACCTTCAGCATATGTGGTTGGCATTTGCTCACTGTTCAACCATGAACCGTTAATAAACTCACAGGCTGGGAATAGTTGCCTGTGTTTTCCGACTGCAGAATCTCCATGTTGCCAGTTTTCTATCATTCCACCACAACTAAAACATCTCACCTGATCTTTAACACCAGCGTAAATGAACCCTGCTCTGGCCAATGTTCTTTCAGAAATAGGGACATCAGATGGAAAGTTTATAAATGTTCCAAGCCTATACATCTCATTTGAAAGGTCTTGTTGACAGTCTGTTGTAATATCCATGTTGATCCTGCTGTGCTGTAGGTTACTTTGACAGTTATTTCAGTCTTTGTTAATCTGTTTCCACAACTCAAAAAATATAGAAATTTTGCAGTGAGTCAGAAAACTTATTTTTAACCAAATCTCATCTGGTCCACCTCTCTTATGCGACAAGTTACTGCTCCTTCAGATTCTGTAAAACAACAGGCAAAAGTTTTTTTTATAAAATGTAAACACGCATTTCAAACCGTCAATGTATTGCAAAAAAATTACACTCTGGAAGAACATATGGTAGACTAGTTCTTATTCTTGGCGAGCCTTATCATGGGAAATAGTAAATAGAGGTTTTCATTATGTAAGTGTTTTACACAGTTCCTGAAGCAAATTGTTTTACTTTTTTAAAAAAACGTTATCAAATGACTCAGCTGGTATCAGTTTTAAACTTGTGCTGCGGATGGGAGGGGGTTGAAGCCACAGTTCTGGGAAGTCTTCCAGTGCTTTTGTTGTAGTTTTCACCAAAGTTCCAGTACTATGTGTAATTAATACAGCATACAGGAAGCAGAGATGACTGAAAGCAGCAGCCTTTCAAAAAAGTTATGCTTAATGGGATACCAAAAATTATATTTACAAATTACAGCCCAGTCTATACAGGCAGGTACAAGTAAACAAATAGAATGATGCTGTTCACCCATATCACTCATCTGCAATTTTTTCCCCGAAATCCAAAGAGTCACAAAAAATGTGTCATAATTAACACATTCTTGGAATCAAAACGATCCACCAATGTCTTTACACACACACAATAATTTATATTTACAGAGCACCTTTCACATTCTACATGCACACTAATAAAGTCACAAATAGCTAACAGTACAGCATTAAAAAATTGCAGTGGCATTTCAGTTTAAACACTAGATGCATTTGTTAGAATCATTTAAAACAGCAAACCCATTTCCCATGATAGGGCTCGCCAAGAAATAAGAATTTTTGCCGTGGATCAGACACAACAGGGTGAGCAATGAACGAGCAAATAAAATGCAAAGCTTTTTGTTAGCAGTGCACCTCTGTTGTCGCCAAGGTTTTCAAAAAAAGAGACAAGAGTTCCACCCAGAAGCAAAACTGAGCCACAGTGTGATTTCCATGGTGTTGGGACTCAATTCCACAGGCGCAAGCAAGGCACACCTTACACAAGCTTGCACTTTACACAGTACCTTTCACACAGGTTAAAGTCTCAGAAGAAAAGGGAGTTTCCCTCTCCCAGTGTCTTGGTCAACAAATCTCCCCAATAAACTGGGTCCCCCAGTCCATGACTGTTTGTGGGAACATTGCTGTATGTAGATTGAGTGACGTGTTCCACCCACAAAGTGCACATTCAACACACGTTACAGTATAACTTGTGAAGTGCTTTGAACTGTCTTGACGGCGTGATAATGTGCTGCCTCAAATGCAAGGATTATTATTAATAAGGAGGTCTTCAGGCCAGATCAGAAGGAGGAGAAGGAGGGTGTGGGCGTGGCAGGAGCATTGAGCGAGAAAGTTCCAAAGTTTCGAGGCTTAGTGGCTGATAGCACGACTGCCGATGGTGGAGAGGAGGGGACGAGGAACAAGCTGGAGCCAGCCGAGCGGAGGCGGAATACAACAACAACAAGATTGCATTTGTAGAGCGCCTTTCACGTCGGGAGGACGTCCCAAGGCGCTGGACAGTTGGGTCGGGACCCGAGCCTTGGGGGGGAAATGGTCAGGGTCAGGGTGAGGGGAGGGGAGGGAAGGAGCGAGGAGGGGGTAGCGAGTCGAGAGGGGAGCTGAAGGCACTGTCGAAGAGAAAGATCTTGAGACCGACCGACCGGCCTCGAAGGAGGAAAGGGAGGAGGCGGCGAAGGCACTGGGGGATGGAGTTCCAGAGCCTCGGGGCTGAGCGGCTGAAAGGGAGCAGCGAAGTAAGCAGAGCTGAGAGGGCGCCCGGAACGCGAAGGGATTCACGGAGACGGCGGCGGGGATCTTGGAAGCCGATCTGAGCCGCGATAAGTGAGCCAGTGAAGCCTGGAGAGGGACTGGGGGGGGAATAGGGCACTTTACGGGCGCAGAGCAATTCACAGGGCAAAGCCAGGGGGTAGGGGAGGTGGGGGGGGGGGGGGGGGGGGGGAGGAGGGAGGGAAGGAAGGAAAGGTGGATGACCCAAGAGGTAGAGGAGATTTGAACAGAGGTGAGCAAAGGGCAGAGAGTTGGAGGTGGTGGTGGTGGTGCTGGGGGGGGGGGCAAAGGAGTTTGACTTCGGTGAAGTGGCCTGGGTTGGGTGTTGGGGGTAGAAAGGAATGGGGTGGGGGGTGGGGGTGAGAAGGGAGTGAGAGAGAGAGAGAGAGAGAGTGAGAGGGAGGGAAGGAGGGAAAGAAAGGAAGGAAGGGGTGGAGGCAAAAAAGGCCGTTGGGACTAACAATCAGGGACACAAACCACAGAAAGAGAGAGAGAGAGAGCTTGATACTCAGCACGCACTCGCTGTCACACAGACAAAGATGGCCGAGTCAGTCAGTCAGTCAGTGAGTGAGTGAGTGACCTTCACGCGGCGCAGACTCTCGGTCGGGGGCCTCGCGCCCTTCCCTCGCACTTGAATCTTCCAGACTCGCCTCGAGCCCAACCGTCCGATCCCCTCCTGCGTCACGCGCGCGAGACCACCTCTCTCTCTCTCTCTCTCTGTGTGCGCGCGCGCCCCCCCGCCTGTCAATCACTCGGGAGGGCGGGGAAATCCCGCGGTAACCCAGGGCAACCACCATCCGATTGGTCCCGACCCACCCACCCCCCGGGCTTGGTCGTGACGTCATGTCCGTGCGGCCCCGCCCCTTCACCTCTCACCTCTCCCGCGCCGCTCGCTCCTCCCTCCCTCCCTCCCTCCTCCGTCGGTCGCGCGCGCAGTGACGTACGCACGCACGCACCACGCGCGCGCACGCGCACCGAGGCGTCATCGCCGTTAATTCCTGCGAATCATTAAAAGGGATTTAACTGAATAATAATAATAATAATGAGGTGGAGGAGGAGGACATTCCGCCGTCAACACATTCCGTGGCTTTGTAGCTGGCGGAGGGACGGGGTACAGAGAGAGAGAGAGAGAGGGAGAGAGAGAGAGAGGGAGGGAGCAGGGAAACAAAATGGAGAAGGGGTGAGAGGGGGGAGGAGGGGGAGGGAGAGAGAAAGAGGAGGTGGAAAGAAGAGGGAACCAGAAAAGGGGGGGAAGGAAGGAGGGGGGTCTATTGCTTGGATTCTGCGACACGCTTGGTCCTTGAGAGCAGGCGGCGCCCCCCACCCCCCTCCCACCCCCCCACCCCACCCCGCCCGCCCCCGGATAATAATAATAATAATAATAATCCTTGCATTTGATATAGCACTTTTCACGTCGGGAGGACGTCCCAAAGCGCTTCACAGAACACACTGTAAAGTGAATTGACTGTATATTTGTGGGCGAACGCGGCAGCCAATTGCGCACAGCAATGTCCCACAAACAGTCGCAGATTGAAAATGACCAATTTATTATTGTTTTGGTTTTGGAGGGATTATTATTAGGCTCTGTGTGGAGTGAGGAAACTTGCCCAAGGTTTGGCCCTCTGCCTGGAATTGAACTCAGGTCTCTCGCTTGCAAAGCGAGTGCTCTAACCACTGAGCTACAGGACTCCACGGATGATTGCTTCGGGCAACTCCACAACCCCGGGAGAAGGCTTTTAGGCTGCGCTCCGCGGAAGCGCAAAGGTCCCCCATTCACCATTTAGCCCACAAGATGCGCAATCCGTCCACTTCACGGTACATCCTGTGAAGCGCTTTGAGGCGTCTGAACGACGTGATAAGGCGCTATATTTGAATGCAAGGGATACTATTATTGTTATTATTCGGTGAACGGGATTGAATTAGAATTAATATTTTCTTTTGCTTCGTGACCCGCATGCGCGTACGTGGATGGGAAACCTGTCACCGTGCGTGAGAGTATCCAAACCAGACTTGAGAGCTTCGTTGCACCCCATCCGCACGTGGAATGATGCTTCATCTGAGAGGTGTGCGAATGGGCGAATAGATCTTGAAGGTTATTTATTTTGGAGTGAATGAGAGCTGAACCGAATCATGTCTTTATCGAATATTCACACATCTGTATTTCCAGAGATTGTCACTGGATAGCAGTCAGGATTGAAAAACATTTCTGATATGTCTCTTCTGTTACCAAGACAAGCACCATTGAAGCCTTTGTTACACTCCAACTGCTATCTTGTTGGAAACAGCTAACATATAACAGAACAAAGAGCCAAACTTGGATCTAACTGGTCTGTTAACCGTGTTTACATAATGTGTTTTCATAAATCCTCTGATGCTATTTGAGACATCCTCCTGATGTAAAAGGTGCTCTATCAAATGCAAGGATTAGTATTTTGTTACCCATTGAGCCTAAAGGGGATCTCCTCCCAGGATTTGTTGTAATGGTAGTGTTTACAGGAGGTATATTAGAGTCAAATACAGAGGTGACATTGTTTCATTAGCTGCAAGAAACATAATATACTGTATGTGGTGATAGAACAATATTTCACTTAAATCTTTATTTGGGAGATTTTGAAAGTGTCAATTAAGCAACTTGAGAGAGAGGTGAAAACTACCTTACAAAATGGTAAGGAATATTCATGTACATTCAGTTATAAAGTATAAATTTAATCCTGGTAAACAGTTAATAATTGTTGACAGAAATATCATTATGGGTCCATGTATTGTGATACAAATAATGTTCACAGTTACCAGCTGAATAAACTATAGGTATCCAATTGATTTTTTTTGACAGGAAGTAAATCCCATGGATCTAGTCTACAGGGTATATTTAAAATAAATGAGATGCAATTATCTTTGGAATGATTTTATATATAAAACACTGAATTGTTTTATATTAGGGTTAGGGTTAGGGTTAACTCTGAAATCTAGTTCCCGAGAGGGGAGCAGAATGGCTCAATGCTGACTGATTCGCCCAGATGGGTTGCAGGAGGAGGTGAGGTCATGGTCAAGGAGTCTGAGGTTTTGAATTTGACATGCTGGTTAACCCAAACCCTAACTGAAAGCTGCCGAAACCCTCATCCACATCATGGCCAGGCTCGATTATTTCAATGACCTGCTCACTGGACTCTCGCAACTCTTCCTTGTAGAAGCTGCAGACCTTCTAGGGCTCTGCAGTCCATGTCCACTCCTCCTCCAGGCTCCGCGAGCCCATCATTGCATGGCTCAGCATGTCAAATTCAAAATCCTCAGACTCCTTGACCATGACCTCACCTCCTCCTGCAACCCATCTGGGTGAATCAGTGAGCATTGAGTCATTCTGCTCCCCTCTCGGGAACTAGATTTCAGAGTTCCTCTGCGAAATTCCCTCCCTCCCACTATTATTGCAAAGAGAAATAGCCTGGAGGATGGTATTTCAGACATTACACTTGTGTTTCAAAGGACAAGCAAAACGGTAGGAACTTATTCATATTCCCTAAACAATGCTGTTGTGTCATTTTCTCAGCCAACATCTAATGTAAAGCTGCAATAATTACACCGTCTGGCATGTTTATGGATCAGTGACTGAAATAATAATAGTGTTCTATGATTTAAGATCTGGAAATGGCACTACTGGACAAGCTGGAGAACAACTGCCTTTGTTGGCTGTAGCTTCATCTGTGCGCAACAGATTTTTGGCTACCACCTGATATCATGGTAAAAAAGGTTGGGAGTATTCCCAAAGTGATAAGGGTGCACTCACTCGTGTATGTGTTCTACACACAACAAAAATAGGTGAGCATATAATTAATTGATGTGGCTAAGAGAAATAATAGGAAATTATAGTACATTGAAATGATTTATTCACTTCAAGGTAGGATAATGGTTCGTGCATAGGATTATGTGGATTATAGTTGGATGAAACTGATATGTTTTGCAATGCCATCATTCTCATGTCATTGATTAACACGAATAGGTGTGAAAATGAATCTAATCTATCCTTGCATTGTGAGGGTAGAACTACAGTACGCAGAATACACAAGCATTTTAAAATGAAATGTATAAAAAATATTTTAGTGTCCCTTCACAGAAATGGGGTACTGTGCAGTTCCTTTGTTATAGTTTGATGTTCTTTACAATTCATACGATAAGCAAATTCAGCTCTGGTTGTATGCGGAATGCAAAATATGTTATTTTATATTCTGTGGTTAGGAATGGTTTTATTTTCCATTTCCTTTTCTGTAAGTGAACTTCACAGAAATATTACGAAATTATGGTAGACTGACTTCCCATTTAGCCGGTTTTAATTGTAGCTCTATCTACTCATAAAGGTGACCGTGTAAGATGAATGCTTTAAATGGAATGCACGTGTGGTTTCTATTCGTATACTTTTAAAGCTTTTGCAGTGGTATGGATCCCAGAAAAATGGTTTCTCTGTATTCAATGAAGAAACTGTTTTATGTGGCAAGAAAAAACTTGGATAGCACATTAGTAGATTGTCACAGAGGAATCCCTCCATGGAGATCATGTACTCAACTTTGTTTGCATATCAGTCTTGAATAAATATGAGATAACCAATAGGCGACCAGCTTATCTGGGTAAATCAGTGAGGTTTGATGGTGCAGATATGCCCTCAAGCAAATGTTCTAATGGACAATGCACTCTTCAGTGGATAAACACAATGAAACGTACCAGTGTTTTGTGCTGGTAACATGCATCGTTATCAATTCATATATTTGCTCAGCGAGGCTAACTGGGGGGGAAATTGGTTCATTTTTTGTGCACAGGAATTGCTGCAATCGCGAAGAGCTGTATAAATATTTTACTTACAACCTTTCATGTCAGGAGGACGTCTCAAAGCGCTTCACAGGACTCATCATTAAGTGCAGTGACCGCGTGTTTTGCGGATGAAGGTGGCAGCCGATTTGCTCACAGCACAACAACAACAAGATTGCATTTATAGAGCACCTTTCAGACGGGAGGACATTCCAAGGCGCTGGACAGTTGGGTCAGGACCCGAGCATTGGGGGGAAATGGTCAGGGTGAGGGAAGGGAGGGAGCGAGGAGGGGGTAGAGAGTCAAGCGGGGAGGTGAAGGCATGTCCAATTTATGGTGAGGGGGGGGCGGGCTGAGAGTAGGCATCGTTGTCACTAAACAACCAGCACCACCAGAACCACCACAGGCGCCCAACTCCGCACGCCTGTCTGTCTCCCTAGCAGTAAGCCGCAACCTGGTTGTTAAGTCGATCGGCGGATCGCTTTTCCGGGTGGGGGGAGTGTGGGTGTAATAATCCCACCAAAAAAAAAATACTAATAATTTGGTCACTCCATCCACGAGTTTGTGGGACACGGCCGTGCACCATTGGCTGCCGCGTTTCGCCCACAAAACACGGTCGAACCGCTTTATCGATAACAATGACGATGACACTACTACTACTACTAATAATAGTAATAATAATCCTTTGCGTTCGATACGGCGTCCCAGGAGCGCTTCGCGGGACGTACGGACCGTCGAGCGCAGCGGCCGCGGAACGGGGGGGGGTCCCTCCGGAGGGCGAGGATTCATTGCCAGCGATTGAAACGATCGAATCATTGGTTAACAGGTGGGGGTGCGGGGGGTCTGGGGAGGGAGGGAGGAGGAGGGTGTGGGGGAGGGAGGGAGGAGGAGGGGGGAGGAGGAGGGTGGGAGGGGGGGGAAGGTGTGGGGGAGGGAGGAGGGAGGGGAGGAGGAGGGTCTGGGGGAGGAGGGTTGAGGGTCTGGGGGGAGGGAGGAGGAGGAGGGAGGGTCTGGGGGAGGGAGGGAGGAGGGTGGTGGGGGAGGGAGGGAGGAGGGTGTGGGGGAGGGAGGAGGAGGAGGAGGGTGTGGGGGAGGAAGGAGGAGGGAGTGTGGGAGCTGTGGGTGAGGGTTGCGCGCGCACGCTGGTGAAACCCTTCGCCTTCCCGTCATGCCCCGGGAGGGAGGGGAGGAGGCGTGGCTAGAGCGGGCGCCGCCGCCCTTTGAACCCGCGGCCCCGCCCCCTTCCCCCCCCCCCCGCCGCCGGCTCCACTGGGCTAAACATCCGGGGTATTGGGGCCGGATGGAGTGAAGCTAAGATGGCGGTGATGGTCTTCCCTGTCGACTGGGTGAAAAGCTGGGAGAAAGGGGGCAAAGCCGAGTTGTAAGTCGGGCGCGCTTTTCCGTAGCTCGCGCCGCGCGGAGGCCGGAGCCCGACGCTCCCGAAGCAACGCGCCTGACCGCCCCGGCCGTCTTTTGTAATCCTCTGTCCGCCCTCCTCCTCCTCCTCCTCGTCTCCTCCCTCACCTCACCTCCTTCTCCTCAACTCACCCCTCCCCCGAGCACCGAAAACGTGGTGCGTTCGGCGGCGGCGGCGGCCTACATTATTATTGCAACGAAAAGAGGTGGGAGAGAGAGAGAAAGACCTGGAGACTGGGGAGCGGGGGTGGGTGGGCGGGGAGAGACACACTAGAGGAGGAAAGGAGGGAGAGAGAGAGAGACAAGGAGGGAGGGAGGGAGACAGGGGAAAGGGGAGGCTTTCAGTTACACTTGAGGTTTTCTGTTCCCTTATGGCTGAAGTGTTCATTCCACACATACGTCTCCTGGAAAGGATTCTCTCTCTCTCTCTCTCCCCCACCCCCCATTTTTTTTATTTAAGTAACGAGTGTAAAACGTGCACTGGTGTGGACTTGTGCAACGTGAAGCTACGTCGAATCAGGAAGGTTTGCGAGTGTGTAAATGGGGGTGGGAGGTCTCTCTTCACTCCTCTCTCTCTCCCCCCCCCCCCCCCCCCCCCAGGGGTCAAGTCCCCTACCTTATGTGCGAGTTGTTTATACAAGTGTTAAGTTGGCAAGCAATAACAAACCTTGGGCAAGTTTCCTTACTCCACACAGAGCCTAATAGTGATCCCTCCAAAAACCAAAAACAATAATGGCCATTTTCAATCTACGACTGTTTGTGGGACATTGCTGTGCGCAATTGGCTGCCGCGTTCGCCCACAAATATACAGTCAATTCACTTTACAGTGTGTTCTGTGAAGCGCTTTGGGACGTCCTCCCGACGTGAAAAGCGGTATATCAAATGCAAGGATTATTATTATTATAATAACAAACAAAGCACATTCTTGAATGTGAGCAGTTACTGTTCAGCAGCAGAACCGATTACTAGTAGGTGTATATGATGTATATTTAACAACGTCTGTATTTGTTTGTACGTCAAGTATGTATACCACACTTACCTTGCCACTGCCATGGGTCTGGACTAGTAATTGCAATCAACCAAGTGGTGACTAATATGTATTATTTTGCATCAAATGTAAGATAATATTGTCAATAGTGCCAATTCCCTGACACTTCTATCCCCTCTCGACCCCATCATTTTGCTTATTTGGTAACTGTAAAAGTTCTTACAATACAAAATTACATTTGTATAGCGCCTTTCACGTTGAGAGAATGTCCCAACGTGCTGGACAGTCAGGAATTTGGACCCGAGCAGAGAGTTTGGGAGCATAGGATGGTGGCTAAAAGTGAGGTCCAAGAGGGGAGTCTTGACACGTGCCTTGAAGGAAACAAGGGTGCGAGGCGAAGGGATTGTGCGATGGAGTTCCAAAGAGTTTGGGCAGAGAGGCTGAAGGCCCGACAGCTAATGAGCGGGGGACGTAGAGCAGGCCTGAGCCTGCTGATTGGAGGGAGTAGACAGGTTGATATGGGGTTAGCAGGTCACAGAGATGGGAAGGCGCAAGGAGGGCCTTAGAGGCGAGGATGAGAACTTGAACTCAATCCTCTGGGGGATGGGGACCAGTGGAGCTGGGCAAAGGTGGGGGTGATAGTGTCACGGAGCCTGGTGTGGAGGAGGCCATAAGCTGCAGAGTCCAGGATGAAATAAAGTTGGGAAGAGTTGGGAATTATTACAGATATGATCAAGATATATAATGCAAGGCTACGTTGCACCTGATTTCAGTCTCAGTGTAGATCCTTTGTCACTAACAATTTTTTATCTCAAAATAATGGTAATTACAATGAAACTTTTACAGTATTTGCCCAACTAGAACAATTGCACTTCACTGAAGGAGCCTGTTATGATGGCCGCTTATCAAAATGCCTTGAGTAACTGCTGAGATTTGCCTGGTAGGTCTCTTTTGACTGAATTCAACCCTTGCTGAGAGGAAACCAAAAAACAAACCTCTGCTTACCTATCTTTTTTTATATTCATCTTGAAATTCTGTTTTTTTTTTCAAGATAATTGTGTCTATATTCACATACAATTACAATTAAACTGAATCTTCCAGTTCAAGTTTGGTGTTCTATTCATTGAAATGTCCACAATCTATAGGGATTGCTTGCTAAACCGTGAAATCCACCTAATGTTTTTTGTTTTGCTCACGAAGTATGCAGTAAATTCACTTTACAGTCTATTCTGTGAAGCGCTTTGAGACGTCTCGAAGATATGATCAGCACTATATCAAATGCAAGGATTATCTTTATGTTATTATGAATTAGCAATATTGAAAGTTTTCATTTATTCCTGTAATCTTCTGAGGTTCTGAAGTGTTGTAAACTGCATAATTGACAGTTAAAGCTATGGGTGTGCTACAAATCTGACCTGAAATTCGAAGAGAGGTGCAGAGGCAGGGTTGCTTTTCTCTATAACCAAAGATAGGAAACTGAAAGGAAATCAGTGCTTTTCTTGCTTCTTACTCTCATTTCCTGGAGCCTAGTTGAAGAGCAATGGTATTAGCTGATTATTCAGGTGATCCTCTGCTTGATGGTGGGTAACAGATTAAAACATTGTTGGGAAGAGAAGAAAAATTACCTTTTTAGAAATAAATTGCAATGCCTATTTTACAGCAACAACGGCTTGCATCATAACCATGATGTTCTTGCTCCAGACTGCCTCTATAAGATGCTGTACTTTCAAAACCCCTCTAAAAACCTACTTGTGATTGTGAATTTGGTCAGTTCACTTCACTCCAATGTGTTTCTTCCTCACCCCCCCCCCCAGTTTCCACTCTGCTTAGTGAAGTGCTTTAAGAAATTATATTGGGTGAAAAGTGCTAGTTAAGTGAAAATTGTAGTGTCTTGCTATCTTCCATTCCATCACTTTTCTTTCTTAAGTGCTTCTGGTGTTCATATTGGATAGTACGAGCACATACTTCACACATTCACACAAAACTTACATAAGTGATGAAAGAATAAGAACTTTACAGACTTTCCCAGAATATCTCCAGAATGGGTTTCAATGGAATATTAATTACAGATGAGATCCTGCGGTTAACTGATCTTAATTTACTTAACTGTGATGTTTATTTCCATTAATATTTAAAAATGTGATCCGCAATTTATTCCAGGGTTTATGCAGCTACATAAATCTAATTCGCTTAAAGAGTAAGTATGTCCAAGGTTTTTGGCCTTTGTTTAGCCTTAGTCTATTGTATTAGTGCTCACAAAAATGTTTTGTATGAACATGTGGACAAATAAGTATTTATTTTTAGATTCATTCTGACTGACCCTCAGCTTGTGTGTACAAAAGATGGTTCCAGTTTACCCTGTCTATTTATTTCTGTTGAAGCTGAAGTAATTGCCTACAGTGTGGAAAAACATGTACATTTTTAACATTTTATTTGTTTAAGAGTTCAGAGACTAATATGGAGACTGCTGCGAAAGGCAAGTTGGTTATTGGTAGGTAGGCAGGCAGGTGTGGCTTTTTTCCTTCTAGATGTTGTCTTGCAGAAGAACTTGGGTTTAGGAAAAAATGTACTTGTTTTTTTTGGGAAGAGAAATAGATGTTTGATTCATCAAACATAAAAATCCATCAGTGAAATATGTGTACAGTGTTTTTAAAAATAAAGTGTGCAAAGTGATGGTGGGAACTGTTGAGAAGAAGTTTTATTGCAAGTTTTTGTACTTGCAATAAATGTCTTTCGTTTTAGGAATCGAACAAGTACATTAAATTGAAGTACAATTTCCTCAATGATCGACCCGAGCCATTTAAGGAATGTATGTGTGAGCACACACATCTGGTAAATTTGTATTTGTGTGTGTGTGGGGTGGTGGGATGGGAGGGGAAGGTTGCGGGTGAAGAGAAGTGTAACCTGTAATTGGAGCAAATGGACTGCCCAGAACATTCAGTGCTATTTTCGACCAACTTACGGGGAATTGCCAAGACTCTGTTCACTACCTCACCATTTTTATGTGACTGAGACTTGGAACCTGCAGCGGAGGATTGAACCTTGATGTCACCGTTCTGCTATTGTGCTTTGACAAACACGCGTTGCCGAAAAAGAAAACTGAGATGGGGGATTAGGAGGGGCAGTGGTTCAGATGGAATACAAACACCGTTGTGGATAAGTTGTGTTGAATGACCTGTTTGCATGCTGTAGCGTTCTGCGTAAAAAGACTCTTGTGATAGATTTCAACACGAGGAATGTGGCCTTTTGAGCAGTGTTTGATGTACAGCTGGAAAATTCCACTTGTCCAGAGCAGCGGTGTGTTAGTTTTGGTTAAGCTTAAAACCAGAGCGTCTCATAGTCTTACAAGGAACATTGTGCTTTTCAGTCCATTTGTAATGCTTGCTGGTTTCTTCATTCACGGTGAATTTCTGCATCTCTTGCCAACGAGCTCTTTGTCCAAAAGACAATTTTATTTTTTAATCTTGTTGTGGATTCATTTACTTTGGTTGAAGTTCGGTGCGACAGATTGGTGGGTGAAAGAAATCCAACCCTCCAATTGGTGAGCAGCTTTGCCCAGGATATATCAACATAAAATATAGACTTTAAAGCCCCTTAGCTGTAAGTACAGAAGAAGTTTCTTGTCCCAAGCAAAAACATTTTTGGATGGGTGAAGTGCCTGGTATATTTGTTCAGTTTGGTAAATGACCATGTAAAAGGCAATTCACTATTTCCTCATTTCTTGGGCAACTGTTGGCACACAACAGTATTTGTACTATTTGTCTTGTGTACTAAATAAAGTACACATCTTCATGTGTAACGTTTGGGCTTATTCTTTCTCAGATACAAAGGACAATTTTTTTGGTAAAAAAGGAAATATCCTAAATGGCCTAGTGGATAATTATGCCGCACAAATACAAACCAGGAAAGTCCTGTGTTCTGTTCCTTGGATCCAGTGAATGTGACGGCTTCATATGGAGTGGTGATGCTAACAGTTGGCTTTGACACCCTGAGTATATGAAAGTGAAATGCTGACCTAGGTTTTGATTGCTGCTTAGCAACTCCAGAGAGAAGCACACTTACAGGAATGCTGACTGAGAGCAGTGTTGTTCTTTCCCAGATTGTTCTCTACCTGGTAAAATACGCCATCAACCCTTACTATCTATTGTTTGCCCATCAAGGTTAGCATGTTGAGTTAGTTACCAGAAGGGCTGCTTCCACCTATTTAAGCTGAGTAGATGTCTCTTTAAGATAAGGGTGGGTTAGGGAAACAGACTAAATCTAAGTGTATTCAGTATTATTAAGTATTAAAGTGAAATACCATATTCTTCACTCAAATACGCATCAGAAATAAAAGTACCAAATTACCTGACTATTTGGTCTTGTGATCATAGCTTAATTAGCACATTATCAAACATGGTGCTGAATGCAGTATTTTCACAGCAATGTAAAAACTTTCAATAAATTCGCACAAACTATGTTGGAGTGAGACATAACAGTCTGGTGAATTTGAAATGGGAATATATCTCTTTTCGCAGAACATGATCAAATTTTTACTCACCGGTTCCTAATTTGTTTTTTTTTAGTGTACAATTATGCCGCAGTCTTACAGAAAATCGAGGCTATGATGATGTTACGTTTAGAGGTAAGATTTTCCTCAGTGGACGTATTTACTGAGATTAACTTTTAAATTCAGTTTGCAATCTTACTGCAATCAAAGGGAATCCGATAAAATTCGGTGCTTGTGTTAATACGCCAGAAAAAACATTGTTTCTAAAAGTTCTGTTCTTTGTTTGAGAACCTGTCTATTCCATTTGTGTGTTTATAATAATTTTAGAGTGCACAAATCATTGGTGGATTTGGGGAGCTATTTGCTCCTTGGGATTTGGGTACTGTTTTTCAGAGAAATAACTTTTTACTCCCTGACATTTAAAAGTTAACCATGCATCTTGCTAGTAAGCAGCATTGGTACACTTCATGTTGCTTGTCGAGTTAGGAGCACTTAACCCCTTGAGGATTTTGCTTGCAAGGTTGAGGGCATGCACAGCCCTCAAGTCTGGTGAACTACACTGGCTTATAAAACCCAAACAGCACCTTGGATTATTGAGGACTTCCAAGGTTACATCAATCATGTGTTCTCCTCTGCTCAAGATGTATTCCAAAGTTTTCTCTATGTATGTTTTATTTAATTCTCCTGCAGATATCCAGCAGGCTCTGTATGAGTTGGCATGGCATGTTATAAAAGGCAACCTAAGGCAGGAACAAGCTGCCAGTGTTCTCAATGATGTAATGGTAAGTGAGTAAATATTACGTAAACCATTTCTTGTTTTATGTGCAGAATAATTCTGTAATTAATGTAACTTTATGTTAAAATATATCTCAGAGCACCTGTAATTTTTGTGTTGCTCGTTGCCTGTTAAGAGGATGGTCTTTGGGTGGGCGGAAATGACAAGTGTCTTGAGTGTAAGAATGATAAAAATTAAAGGTTACGTTTTAAAAATCAAGTCAACGTATCCCCCGGAGAGGATATATTCCAGTTTCTTCACATTCAGTGGTAGTGTGCTGGAGGCTCTACCATTTCACGCCTCTCAGCCAGAATTCCCGCATTAGGCTGGCATTTAGAATGCAGTCTATTTCTGTCTGCCGGCCGTTACCATGTGCAGGGCTAAGCATCCTTTGTGATCCTGGTTACCAGTCCGTGGTCACTCCGATGACAGCTGTTTGGAGTTGTATCAGTCTGGTCGGTCAACAGTTTGGGTATTTTTTGGTGAGGTTGCATTTAAACATGTACTGTGTTCAAATAAATGTTTCTTGCCTTTTTTTCTGAGCTGTCAAGCTAAATTAAATGGAAGTGATATCAGCTTTGTCCTCGGGCGGTGTGTTAGTGGGTGGGGGGGGGCGGGAGGGGAAGAAGAAGGAAAGGGAGGGAATGTAGTATGTAGTTCACTCAAATGTAAGTTGATGTCAACAATGACATTTTTGCACCTACTTGCAGGAACTTCGAGATGATATGTCTTCAGTGCTGGCAGACGTTTTCTGCGTTCTAGGTGAGAAATTGCTCACTGCAGTGAATAGACTTTGCAGCTGTGAATGCTTTGTTTTGTTCACCTGTTACTGGAAGCTCGAAGTTGACTTGAATTTATTTTCATTGCAGACATTGAAACGAGTTGCATCGAAGAAAAAAGTAAAAGAGATCATTTTACTCAATTGGTTTTAGCATGTTTGGTGAGTACACGTAACCCTTTAAACTGGAATTGTTTCGCTTCTGTACTTGGACAAAATCATTTTTTGTTGTGAAAAATAATCTTGGAACAGGTTTTTTTTTAAAATGCGCTATGTTTGCGCTTGAGGAAGTGGAACCTTTCAATGTTTGGAAACCAAAGCAGTTTCACTTTTTGTCGTCAATATTGTTCATGTACATGACAGACGAGATGCTATTCCCCAGCTTGCAGAAGAATGCCACCAATTGCACTAAGATCTCTACTGTTTTTTTTTATTCCTCCCACACCCATAATCTTCATGGCTGTTCATGGAATACAACTCCCTTCAGTTAACTAACTCAAAGGGGTCCACAAGGTGGCGATATGAGTCCATCAATGTCTTCAGTGACTGAGTCAGATTTGTTCCATAATCTTGCATCTGGGTTTGAAGGTTGTCACAGCAGGGATAATTAATTGTAAATGAAAACTGTTCCACAGCCTTCAGAGTGCACGCCATACCTTTTGGATTGCCCAGCAATGAAACTGTTTCTATTGCTTTAGATGACCCGAGTGAGAGTTTTTAACTGTTTGCACCAGGGTTTTATGGAACTTGTTGTGTTGTCGTGTTTCAGTATTTGAAGCAGCCTAAACAAACCTTTTCTTTATTGCAGTGTTTAGTTTCAGAGACAGTCCTCAAGGAACGCCTGGATCCAGAGACATTAGAATCTCTTGGGCTTGTAAAGCAATCGCAGCAGTTTAACCAGAAATCTGTAAAAATCAAAACCAAACTATTGTAAGTCATTGTTTACAAAAATGTGAACTAGGCTATTGTAAATGTCGGGTATTTTTTATTATTAAATGTTTTTAAGAGTTGTGACTCAATGTAGCTACCTGGCAACCTGAAAGTTGACCATTTTTTCAGGGGCTTTGCTTCTAACGCAGCTGTTGAGATATTGCACCCAGCTAACGGTTTCCCTGAAGAATGATTTAATTTGAACTTAACTTCACACAGTTAAGGTTTTACAGATAAGAAATGAGTGAGTCGGAAATGGACAACTCTGTATTAAGCTAAGAGCAGATGACTGTGATTTCACATTCTTACTAACTGTTAAATGATGCTGTGAGGGAATCTAGATGCATTTATTTCTAGTTACATTAACCCACAGCAGCAGTAATAACATCTTAATTGTGCTGCGTCTCCTTTTCTATGAAAAAGCATCGACACATCATTTACAATCTGTCAGTGTCGGGATTGCAGCAGTATAATAGCCAGAGCCAGGGACCTGTGCTTTATATACCAGTAATTTACCAGCAGAGAACTTTAAAGAGTGAAATTTATTATCGATTCAGGGTTAAGATCCCAAATCAATTTCAACATTTGGAGATGTCTCTTTTTTTTCAGTGACATCTAAATGGATTGCTTTTTGGTTAAAATTAATAACTGCAATTTGTCTGATGTTGTGCAGGCCTGTTATCAGATGAGAGTCATTTATAGATAGTTTGCTTGAATGGAGTCAGTCTGGTACAAGATACGCAGTGGAACCGAATAGAAAGTCTGGCAATTTGCCACTCTGGGTTGCTATGTTGCACTGGAAGCTGGGTGAAGTTGAGGGAAATATTGGGCTATTCTTGCGAGCTTGATACGGTTCAAGGATGATGGTTTTGATTGATAAGTTGAGGCCTTGTGTTCGATTCTCCGTGGAATCTGTATCGTTTGGTAATCCAAATTCCGAATGTTTAGTATTCTCGTAATGTTCTGAAACATTTGTTCTCTTCCAATGCTTCTGCATAACTAAGCTTTCCACAGTTAATGTAACTGTCACTCTTAGGTTAAAATCAGGTTACAATTCAGCTCTGTATTTCGAGTCTCAGACTTGCAGGTCAGTCAATGGAGTGCAGGATTTAATAGCAGTAATAAACAAATGAATGCCCTTGAGTTTTGGAACACCTGTTATATATGTGCTGCCTTATTTGTATTCCATATTTTTCATTTTTTTATTCAGCAAATTGCTTGCGAACAAAATAATTTTGCTGAGCAGATTTTCTCCTTTCCCCTCTTTCTCTCTCTCTCTCTCTCTCTCCCCTCCCAACCCACTTGACTGTTGTGAGCTGTATTAGTAATGGAGTGAATCTGTTGTTGAGAGGTTTTAGTGTCCTCTGTAGAAAATCTCTCCCATTAGAAGTACTGTATTATACTTGCAAATATTTTTCAAAGGTCCCCAAAATTGCCTGAACAATTTGTGTTTGAAGCTGGGATTTGAATGTTCTCAGTGTTCTGTTCAATGATACCCGATAGACAGGATGCGAAGGGAATAAGGAGGGGGGAATGAATGAAGGTGGAGAAAAAGGAAATGTGTGACTCAGTGTGCATTTTAAAGTTATGTTTCCATTTATTCGTAGTTATAAGCAGCAGAAGTTTAATTTGTTACGTGAAGAAAATGAAGGCTATGGGAAACTGTTTGCTGAGCTGGGCCAAGACTTGTCTGGAAATCTCACAAGTGACCTCATCCTGGAAAACATCAAATCACTCATAGGTAATGCTGCAAAAGTACTTACAGGGCTGTACAAATTTACATTTTATATAGTGTCTTTCACGTTGGGAGGACGTCCCAAGGCGTTTGACAGTCCTGGCATGGCACTAATTTCGTTGAACTATTACGACAAATAACTTATTTTGCATAAAATGACATGGAGTTTTGTTGCAAATTTATTTTTGGAAAACTAGTTTTATTCATGATTCTTTGTTCATTTATTAAAAAAGACTCATTTGCAGCTCTGATTTTCTGACAGTCAGTGATTCTAGCTGGTGTTTTTCTTTTTAATTTCAAACCAAAAATTAAAATAACGATTGTCTCAAAACCAGCATCCAGAAGAAATAATATGAATATATCCTTATCTATGGTTTGGTTCCTTATTGCATTTGTTGGTAAGCTAGGGATCACAGGATTGTAATATTTAAGATAAGTTATTTTCACAAAAAGCTAGTGTTCTGATTATTGCTAATGGCTTGCAACTTGGATGCACTGCAAATTATAATGTCTTTACAGTACTTGGAAAGTGTCAAAATTCTCCAAATTGATTGGGCAAATGACAATTCTGTTGTCTTTTAGGATGTTTCAACCTGGATCCAAACCGAGTTTTGGATATTATCTTAGAAGTATATGACTGCAGGCCGGAACATGATGACTTTTTTGTACCTTTGATTGAGTCCTACATGTACATGTGTGAACCGCAGACTCTTTGTCATATCCTGGGCTTCAAGTTTAAATTTTATCAGGTAACGTAGGGAATTTCAGATCATTCACTTATATACGTTTTAAGTAATGGTAAAATGCAATGTGACTAACCGGTGAGCTTTGCCATTCATTTGAGATCTGATCATCTATATCCTTTGGCAAACATCTTCAGCAAACATTTCAATACAGAATTTGTATTTCTGTTGTACTTTGTGTTCCTATATGTGTGTGTATTTCTCTTTCCAATCACTGTAACTATCTAGGTATGGTTTAATGATGAATTGTAGTACATTGATACACAATAAGGCTTGGATGCTTACTGAATTTTTTGTACACTTTCTCCTTTCAGGAGCCGAATGGTGAGACGCCCCCTTCCCTCTATCGAGTCGCTGCTATACTACTACAGAATAACTTGATAGAGCTGGAAGATCTTTATTTACATGTACGTAACCTCGCGTCTGGGTTTGTGTGCCATGAGGTTATAACTTTTTTTTATTTTAGTTATTTTCTTGAACACAATGTTCTTCTGGTGGTTTGTGCTTAAAAGAGAACAGTGCCTTCTTCCAGTTCACAGACCTCCCTTGTAATATGTAACCTCTTTGATCGTGTGTTCCAGCTCCTACCTTCAGATGCCAGTATTATCGAGCACCACAAACGGGAAATAGTTGAAGCAAAGCAAATCGCACGAAAGCTTACGCTGGTCGTTCTCTCTGCTGATAAACCAGACGAGAAAGAGAAGGAGAAAGAAAAAGAGGAAGAAAAGAATGAAAAGGTGGATTGATCTTACTCTTCAGATTATCCATATTGCTCAAGTTAACAATGCTTAGGGGTACATACAATGATGAGATTCTTTAAATCAGCACTTTACTTCCTTGAACCACCCCAAAGTCAAACGTGTCTAATCCCCCCCCAAAAAAATATTAACTTCTAAATAAAATTAAATGTAAGGGTTATCTACAATTCTGTACAGTTTTACGTTGCAAAGCCAAATGGCCTCAATGACAAATCTGGATGGAAATTCAGGCGTTTCACAGGATACGTACGCTGTAAAGTGGAGTAACTCTTGTGTTTTGTGTGTGAAAACGGCAGCCAATTTTGCACACAGCAATGTCCCACAAGCCACTATGAAGCGAATAACCAATTTTATTTTAGAAATTGTTGGCTAGGACAAATGCCAGGCTCGATGAAAGAGTGCCACCATTTACTTTAGGGGATTGACCTCTGTTTTTGATTCTTGACTGCGAGCCAAGAATGGCTAAGATGGTTAATGAAATGGTAAAGGATAGCTATATCTCGAGTGACTACCTAAATCAAGGCGATTACCCTTCATCAAAAAAAGTCTTAGGTTTAATACAGCCTTGAGATTTTCTACAGTTGCATAGTTTGCAGTCTTTCTTTGGTACAAAAGGTTGTTTATTGATTTCAAGATCCTCATCCTCACCTACAAGGCCATTCACGGCCTCGCTCCCTCCTACCTCTCCAACCTACTATCCCCCTACCTACCTGCCCGTACCCTCCGTTCCTCTGGCTCCGGTCTGCTCCACATCCCCCGCCCCAACCGCCCTACCATCGGTGGTCGGGCCTTCAGCCTCTCAGCCCCCAGGCTCTGGAACTCCATCCCCCAGTGCCTTCGCCGCTTCCTCCCTTTCCTCCTTCAAGGCCGGTCTCAAAACCTTTCTCTTTGACCGTGCCTTCAGCTCCCCTCTCGACTCTCTTCCCCCTCCTCGCTCCCTCCCTTCCCTCCCCTCACCCTGACCATTTCCCCCCTCCTCGCTCCTTCCCTCCCCTCCCCTCACCATTTCCCCCCTGCTCGGGTCATGACCCAACTGTGCAGCGCCTTGGGACGTCCTCCTGACGTGAAAGGCGCTTTATAAATGGAATCTTGTTGTTGTTTATCAATTTTAAATTTACCAGGGTGTAGGGAAGTCCGCAGATCTGTTATTTTGTTGATTAATGAGCTGATTTACTGGTTTTCCTCCTCGTACCCCAACTATTTATACACTGCACAATTGCAGTCGGAATTAACTTTGTATGGGATGCTAAGATGCCAATTGCTTCAGCATGTTTCGGAAAGCTCTCGTTCAGTTCACGTTGCACAGTATCTCTGCATATTAGATGTCAGCTTGCCAGAGTCCTGAGGTGCGTATAGCTAACTCTCAGTCGCTGGTGGTTGAGGAAACCTGCAGCACAATTGAACTGATGGCGTGCTCCATTTTGTGTTTTGGGACCAATCTGTCACACAGATCTTGCACACCAGCAGTTTTGACTGCTCAGTGTATTCACACAACAGTTAGTCCAATCTGTTTTACTGTTTCTTGTGGCTTTCAGTCTCTGGGGTTAGTGCTTTCCAATCTAGTATGTCTGAAAGAGCATTTTGTTTGCCCCCTGGGCAATAACTGCAATTGCTTATTTTAGACTCGTCAGATAATGTGAATATACAGAATTTTTTAAAAAAACATAAAGCTGATATATAAATAGTTGTCCTTGATAGGAAGCCTGATAGCACCGTGTTTTCAATTACTAATTGGCTCTACTGTGTCTGTATCCAACTGGCAGAAACAATTCATACCCTGACTGTTTATCACACGGCGAGTTCTTATCTCATCAGTGTCATTCATGGAAAAGCTGAATGCTTGAACACAGTGACGTGGAATATTGGAAGCTTTGCTCCAAGTCGGTGCTTTTACAAACGAGCAGCTTGAGGGTGTCTTTATAAATAGAATTGTTTTAAATGTGCCAAAAATCCCATCAAATGTTGCTGCAGCAATTATGGCTGAGCACGGCTATATTTTGTTAGGTTTTGTTTTTTGATATGGTATTGATGTTTATTTCCATTTATTGGTTTTACTAGTTTATTCATTCTTCACAGGTTGCTCCTGTGAATTGTACAGTGCTATCGAGGCCTTTTAAGTTTCAGTAGCAATTGCTCCAAATCACTTCACATCTTTTGTAGCAGCTTTAGTGCACAGCGGTTTATGTGGGAATAAAATCTGGCCGTTGGCAGAATGACGAACTGAAAAGGAGCCTGCTGTGTTTAGTCTGTTTCTCATATGCGTGGTGATCTTGGAAAAAGTTGAACTCGTATTGATCTCTTTCCTTCACCGCTCCCATCTTTTTTTCTTCCAAGGATGATCGACAGATTGCATGATTTCCTCGAAATACAGATACATATATATATATAATATATATTCAAACAAAATTGGAGGGGTCAGCCCAGTTGGTGTCTGACACATAGGGAAATCCATCACCATGCTTAAGAGTCTCCAAAACAAACTGAGATTTCCTTGCATCCCACCTACTTATAAAAACCCAGCGATAGGTTGTTGAAATGGAATGCGCACTCTCTCCCTGGAGGGAAGTATCCAGCTTATCAAATGATGCTTGGGTTATGTATGGGTTGGTCCTATTTTGTTTTAATTGGAAACTAAACTTTTCAGCCTCCTGACAATCAGAAGCTTGGATTATTGGAAGCGCTGCTGAAAATCGGTGATTGGTATCATGCACAGTGCATCATGGATCAGATGCCACCTTTCTACGCGACCTCACATAAGCCAATAGCACTTGCTCTCTGCCAGTTGATTCATGTTATCACAGAAGCCTTGTATAGAAGGTAAGATTTGTTTTCCAATTCTCAATGAATTGCTTAAGTCCTTTTCGTATTTTCTATGTGGATTTAATGACTCCTGCAATGTTGCAAGAGGTATTATATTGTGCTTGAGCTCTAGACTTTTGTAATTAATCTGTTCTTAAATGCGTCATAAGATTCCTATGGAAGAGGAGGAATCTAGTAATGTCCAGTTTAGACAATTGAGTGACACACCACTGCTTGCAGCAGTAAAGCTATTTGTAGTGCGAAGCTGGGTGTGAACTTTCTTCCTCTGCTCTTTCCTGGGGCTTAGTAGAGCTCTTATGTGTGAATGTTAAGCCCATTTGCAGAGCTCCACTATTTGCTAATTTTATATTATTAAAGGGCTTGTTTAATTACGATTCTACAATTTATTTGGAGTGTCTGTATTTGTACTGAGCAATGCAAATCAAAAACTTTGCTGGAACCATCCATTTATGATGATCTCGCCAGGATATCTTTGGAGACCGTATGTTTCACTCCAGCTACTGGGGTTTTCGTGGCTGTTCGGCATCATTTTTATGGTAAATTGTCACCAGAAGTGCAGTAGAAAGTTGTGATTGTGCAGCACCAAAACGATTTATGGTCAATCGCATATTTTAAATTTTATTTGTGGTTTTTTGTTGTTTGGAATCAAAAATTCAGGTACCCAAATAGTGCCCAAAATTCACAATTGGGTTAAAACCAGAGAATTTAAATCCCCTTAAGGGAGAACTTCAAAGAACCATTTGAGCTTCATAAGCTTTCCCTGTCCGCTGGCACTGTATGTTTTATTAAAGGCAATCCTGAATGTTGCTTGGGAATGCAGAGGATAGTCTAAAAGTGACCTAGAATTCTAATTAGCATAGAGAAATCCTCTCGCTCATCACCCTCGCTTCATTGGTACAAGGACTCATATCTCACTGAAACGATTTTAGATGTGCTACTGCTTTTGATTCAATCTTTTATTTATAGTTTCTTTCACAATAAATAATAAATATAATTTTAAAAAAGGCCATACCCTTAACTATCACCCAATATTCAAACAGGGCCAAAATCTGCTCAGGTTTGGGTGAGAGATAGTTCAAAGGACAGGAGAATTGCCGTCAAAATCACTTATGTCAAAATCCCTTGTTGCAAAAATTAGACTTGGCTTATTGACGTTAAAAACTGCTCCGCACACTAGTTTGTAAAGTCAATCTTTCGTATCAAACTGCAGGCAGGTTAGCATTGAAGGGTAAATTGGGTGTCCTATCTGTGCAACAGAAGCAATGCACTCTGCTGAAGATGTTTTTGTTATCACCTATGCCATTTTAGCTGAGATCAACTAAGCACAGCATTGACTGGGAAACCAAAAATGATCTGTTTCTTAACACCTGAGCCAGCTAGAACTTTGACACTAAAATTTCCTCTGGCGTATCTGAGGAAAAGCCAAGATTTACGATTTACAATGTTGTTGCTTTTCATTTTTAATAAATGCGGTTACACAAAGCATTCACTGATCACATTGGTAAAACATGGTTCTAGGTGTGGCCCGCTTACAGTTTTAATTTTGTAAAAATTTCTTTATAGCTTTTGTGATTGCCAGTTTTGTCTCGAGACCTTTTCCAGTCAATTGACTTGTATTTCTTCAAACTGATTTACTTCTAGAGTTGGTGTACCAAAGGGTGCAAAGGGAGCACAAGTTCCATTGCTAAAGAATGAAAGAGCTCCAAAGCCCACAGAAACATTTGACGACTTGAGAAAGGAAGTCTTCAGCATGCTGTGTTATCTTGGACCTCATCTTTGGCATGATCCGATCTTGTTTGCCAAAGTGGTTCGTCTTGGGAAGGCTTTCATGAAAGAGGTTGGTGCTACCTTAAATCTGTATGAGAATTTCGGCCACTCTGCACATTTCTTTCCCAGAAGATTTATTCATTGTAAAATTCTGTGTGTCGCTGTTTCCAATCCACGTTTGTTATATGAATATCAAGTTCCTTAGCCCCAACTGCCCATCTTATTTTTTTTTCTCCCACAAGCACCCAGTTTTGAGGGGAAAGAGAAAATGAGAGCTCGTGTGGGATGGAGTGTATTTAATAAAAGACATTGAGAATTATATGGACTGATCCACTTCAGGCAGTTAATGTCTTTAAAATGAGTTAGGTTGGAATGGCAGGTCACTGAATTTTCTTGTGCACCAGAAGATACGACTACACAATACAAGCCTTGTATATGTTACCAGAACAGCTATTAAAAAAAAAGCAATGGTAGTAAAGCAGATTTTACAATGCGGCGCCATGCATTTTCTGAGGCTTTTATTTCTATTTTAAATCTATTTTACACTGCCATAAAATGAAATTTGCTAGCATTTTGAGATGAGTATTTTTCAAGTAAATAGGAGACTGGAATAACTTGCCACGTCAGGTTTCAAGGGGCTAAGCAAGCGTGTACATAACGCCCACACACCAAGCCTGACCTCTTGCAAAGCTTGCGGTGAACTTGTCTCAGCCCTTGGCAGCTCTGATTTGATGCTGCAGATTATTACATGCTGGCTTAGCTAAGTTTATTTGTGTTGCCTTGTCACTTTTACTGACGAATGCTGTTTAAGCACTTCAGTTTTAAATTGAATCGATACCAAGCTAATTTCAGGTGTCTTGATACTTGCATAATAAGATTAGAAAATCTTTGAGTTGTGGCAGATCTAACCCAATAAAATAATTCCATTGACATTAGATTTCTCAGGAAATAGTGTCGCAATTCACTGACCATCAGTAGCTATAAATGCAGTCATGAAAACTTGAATGGACACAGTCAGTTCCTGTGCTGCAGCCAGTTAAATGTTTTATAACGTCTGTTATCCTTGTTTTTCATATAAATTTTAACGACTTAAAGAAACACTTCTGCCCAAAAAATTGCCCGTCTTGGCAGAAACTTAATAAGAATAACTTACTAGTATATTTCAAGAAATTCATTAGCCAGTCTGCAGCATTAACTTGTCTTGTCTCTATCTGATTTACTTCATTTAGATCTTGAGACGTCTGGAAGACGTGAAAAGCGCTATATCAAATGCAAGGTTTATTATAGGTCACTCTATAGTTTAATAAATAGCCTTTAATCTCAGTCCCTGCCAGATAAAGCCCAGCTATCCTCTAAGTAAAAATGCTGAGCACTTAACAGAAATCATATTGCCAGTTGTATTGGCAATCATATTTTCCGGCTAGTAATTTGCTTATCAAACCATGGAAATTTTGTTGCACGTGTTAGTGAAATCACCGTCAATAAATCCATATTGGATTTTGACGCACACCCCAGAACATCTCGGGAGTGCCTTCTGAAGGCATGAATTGTATAATTTTTGGAACGTTAAGTTGTAAAAATTTATGCAGTCCTCAAATGGGTAACGCAAGACATTTTGCAGCATAGTTTGAGTCATAGATGACTGAGATTTTGCATAACCGGGTTGACCTTTTGTTTGAGTGAAGGCAGTAAGGAAGGTTGCATTTGATTAGAAATGTAATACCTCAGATAACTATCTAATTGGTATTTCAGTTGCTGCGCTTTACAGTAGCATCCCCTGAAATGCCAAAAGTGCATACATTAAGGGCTGAAAATCATCATTGTTTCATGTGGATTTTGGTGAGAACTATAAATTGTAGCATTTGCCATTGAAGAACCATTCAACTATGGGGTCAATATTATCAGCTCCTGATGTACTCTCAAGTCCCGTGTAAAATATGTGCAAAGGGTGCTGTTCAGAGTTCTCATTACAACTCGTGTTCTTTTTGGCTGGTATTTCTATGCAAGAGGTAGGAAATGGGCTGACAAGAGGCGTGCTCTTGAATCACTACGTTTTTCTTTTGTAAAAGTAGATCTAATAAGTGTTTGTAATTTTGATGCGGTTGCCCATATTTGTAGAAGTGGTCATGAGAGCTAAGAAAAAATAATTAACTTGTGCAGTGCAACCGCTCGAACAGTCTTCCTTTCGTTATCTGTGCAAGTCCAATGTTTTCGACCTGACCAGTCACTTGAGTGTTTGGCTTTACTATTGTGATTAATTTCCTTTTACAATTGGTGATATTGATTGTTTTATTATAAAATGCATTTGCAGTATTCATCAGATGGAGGTAAAACGGATGACAGAGAAAAACTGGTAAGTTCTTTTGTGTCTGTCTCTCAAGATTCCAAGGTTCTCGTCCCTCCTTTGCGCTCCCGATTGTTTCCCCGATAAGAAGCCGCGCTTTTAAATTGAGAAACGCTTAGATTTGAAATTACCCCCATTTTTCTCCTGTTCCCCTCAATAATTCTAAGTGCTTCTTTTGTGAAAACATTCTGCTAGATTTACCAGCCCAAATTATGCAGTTTTTCTTTGGCAAATGGCCGTTCCGTAGAACTGCATATGTTTCAAAGAATGCTGCACACGTCAACCTCAAAACCATTATTTTTGCTCAGTTGATTTATGTTACAAATGCCATTCATTTTGACTGTGGAGCACCACAGTGATAATTCATTATCTTTCTACTCAGTGGCAGTGCAAAATGTTTTTTTTTCACTTTACATTCAGAGAGGCTTGCTTATGACATTGACGGGGCAGATTTTTTTTTAACCAATTCGCTATTGAAGATGCCCTTTGGTGTCATTCCCTGTGCCAGGTGCATGAAATGGATGTGCAGTGTAATGAAATTATGTGGTATGATGCATAATTGCAGATTGTCTTTAAGCAAGGGCTCTCAAGATGTGAATCATGATGCTCTTTTATCCGACAGGAATCACTGGTGAGCTGTTTCCTCAGTATTACAGACCAGGTCCTGCTCCCATCACTTACCTTAATGGATTGCAATGCCTGCATGTCAGAAGAACTTTGGGGAATGCTGAAAAACTTCCCGTACCAGCATAGGTATTGTGCAAGAGTATTTGAAAATGTATTTTTGTAAAAAAAAAACATCTCCAGATAGATAGAGGGTAGTTAACGGCATTTTAATGTTGTCTTCAGATATCGTTTATATGGCCAATGGAAAAATGACACCTACAGCAGCCATCCTTTGCTTGTTAAAGTCAAAGCCCAGACAATTGACAGAGCCAAGTACATAATGAAGTAAGTTTCTGTTTAAGGAAAATACATGAAAAGGAGCTATTGAAGATGCCCGTAAGTAAGTTGCTTTGTTATGCATCTCCCCCCCCCGTTTGTAATAAAAGCCTTTGATCAAAAAAGGTGCACGTTTTCTTCCCTAGAGAACTCTGATTTTAGAGTTAAATACACAGATGATTGCAAAGTCCTACATGGTAGCAGATGATAACGGTTGGATTTTGTCGTGTGCCAGGCAAGTTACCAGAGTGTAGGGATTAAACTGCTTTGCTCTATAACCGGATTAGTCAAACCAAGATTAGAGTTTTAGACTTGACTTGCCCCTTAAGGGGAGGGGTGGAGCTCCCAGAAATTTTGGACAATTTACTGTTTCTTTTCTGTTTATCCTCTCTTCTGAAAATGCTGAGGATTGCCAGGATAGAGTTCCATAAGCACTGATCAGTCCGATACCTTACCTAAAAAGCCGCTCTTCATGAATGATTCCAGTTAGACATTGTGTCAGCAGGCTATTCAACTGCAGGGACCATTTTGGAATTGCTGTATAAAGTAATAATAATCCTTGCATTTGATATTGCATCTTGTCACATCTTTGTAAACTTTATAAAGCGATTCAAAGGATTTACTAAATAGGATAATTAGTGAATTTGTATTTGTAGATGACTGTGGCAACCAATTTGCACACAGTAATGTCCCACAAACAGCTATGAAGTGATTGTACAATTTTCTCTAGGGGATTGTTGGTCAGGACACTGGGGGAAACTTTCTGAATAGCACCACGGGATCTCAAAAATGTCCACCCGAACAGGCAGGTGGGACTTCAGTTTAATGTTCCATCCAAAGGATGGCAACTCCGACAATGTAGTGCTTCCTGGTACTGCAGTGTCTATGAGCTCAAGGTCCTGATGTGTGGTTTCAACTCACAACTTTCTGACTCGAGGCGAGAATGCTACCAACTGAGCCAGGCAGTAAAATACTTCCTTGTGTAATTAGAGTACAATAGCTGGTTATTGACAGATATGTGCATGGTAAAAGTGTTTGTCATGGAAACAAATGCAACGCTGAAACAAAAACAGAAAGGTAGATATTTTCAATCTTCTGCTGAATATAAAATTAAATCAATCTGAATAATTCTATGCAGTTGGAAGTGCACAGCTGAAGCTTTTTTTAAAAAAAACAGCAGAGTTCTTGACAAATTGCAATAATCTGAAGTGCTGCGGTAATGCAATATCATATTTCCTTAGGTGCAAATGAAGCACCATACGTCTATCTACGAGAGTTATGGCTTGTATACCTAAAATAATAAAAGCACTGACTTGTCACATAGGAAATTGAAGAGACTTGACTGTACAATCCCATTAATATGGTCAATTTATTGAGTGGACGATGATGAATTTGCACATTTTCAAATCAACTGGGCATTTTATTATCATTGTTACTATTTGTGTCCTCACTGTCTGCCTTCCGCCTAAAAGCAAATGCTTGAATATGAGCAGCAAAACAGGGGAAATGTTACTTTGCTTAGTTCTTGTCTGCCCTAAAATGCCCAGGGATTGGATTATTTCTGTTGTTGGGTCTGATCTATTGATTCAGCAGTTGAGTTATGCTCTTGATCCTGCATCATTTGCTGGCTCCTTATGAGGCTGTGGACGGAGTCTACAGCAGTGAATTCCAACCTGTTTTTGATTTGCTGGATTTTTTGCCGGTAGAATTAATAGCATTTATTGATGTTACTTCAGAATTTGTGACTTCAGCATTTGATGTTTGGTGATTATGCAGCCTGTCTTTATAACAGGTGCCAGGTTAAGGTTTACAGTTGTCTGTCATCTCACTGTTGAGCAAACTAACATTGTAAATCCTTAGATATTTTCTTTTGAGATGTACATTTTGTCTTAACAAAAGAAAATCCTGTCAATCAATCCTCCGTTTTTAACTGGGGGATTCTTTTGCAATAAAATGACTGTGTGCCTCTAAACTGTCGATGGGGAAATAATCCTAAACGTACATTTCTTTTTTTCTAGGCGACTGACTAAGGAAAATGTGAAGCCTTCTGGAAGACAAATTGGCAAACTCAGTCACAGTAACCCAACAATCCTGTTTGATTATGTATGTTATTTTACGTTAACTTTGATTACACTTGTAGAGATTGCACTTGTCAAGGTGAATATATAAGCATTGAAGCCTTGGCTGGGTGGGTGACACAATGAGTTAGAACGCTGCACAATCAATCGCCTCTGGGCTTGACCTCACATCACACCCTGTAGGATGAAGGAATAGTCTGCCGGCTTCAAAATCCTAAATATGGTTGTTTTTAGCAGAATTGCTGATGCTCCCTGGAGGATGGAGAACAGTGTGGCAAGTGCTTTACACTGATTCAAATGCATGACACCCCTGAGCTGGGGAGCATTTGATGCTGACAAAAGACTGTGAAAGAGGCAAAATGCTCCACTTTCGAGCCATGCCAACATAAAACTTGATGAGCACAGAGGATCTTTCCGTTCATGCGAAAAGCTCCACATGCAACATAATTTCTGAGCAATCATGTTATCCATTTGAGTTGAAAACATTTTGAAGAGATGAATAATACAGTAGGTTTAGTTCAGATTGTGCATGTTTCAGCTAAGCGCATGCTGTGATCTGAGGTATTGTCAGGATTAAGAGTGAATAGTGATACTACCAAGTAATACAATTAGCTAGGTTGATGCAATTTATTTTGGTTGCATTCCAGTTCACAATACATTTCGAAGCAACTAGCTCCTTAGTGAATAAATGTCGTGCCAATTTGAAGGTTACATTTCAATTGACAATCTAATATTTCATTTTAAAACGTAAGGATTGTCTGCTCTTTGAATTGTTTTCTGTGTGATCGCAAGCTCTGTGCAAGTCTTCAGTGCTGATTGTATAATGTGAGCCAATTGAAAGCTGGGGTAATCTTTTCATCCTTATGATTGAATTTTTTATTTTGTTTTGGTCACTGCATGTCTGACACATCCGAAACCCCATCACGAAGCTTAAGAGTATTCAAACCAAACTGAGAATTCCATGCATCCCACCCATACATGGAAATTTCAGAGATATTTATTGGAGTGGAATGCCCACTCTCTCCAGGAGGGACGCCTCCTGCTTACCTAATTACCGGAGTATTAGGTGCAGGTTGGCAACAACCAACGCTTGGGGACCCCAGAGTGTGTGTCGGGGTAACTGCTGGAGTCTAACCGGCTAAATCCACATAGCTCGTCATTGAGACCACTGTCTGGCAAGTCTTCCGGCTGGTTGTTCAGCTAAGGCCACCCTAAACCTTAGGGCTTTGGCTACCAGAGATAACGGGAGCTGAGCAGGAAGAGTCACTGCTTCCAGTGATTGGTTCTCCCTTCCATGGCCTGCTGATGAGCCAGGCTGTGCTGGGTTGTCATCAGCAGTGCTCTGGAGTACTCTGGTCCCGCCCGGCTCAGGAACTCGATTGCCGAGACCACAACACGGGTTGGGTTCAAGTCTGTCAATCTATTGCCCAACGTGGTCACCTTGGAGCTAGTTCAATGTTGATGACGGATATTTTGCCAGTAATGTAGCTTAGAAATTTATAGTATAGTTCATTGCCTTTTAAAACTGGACAGCAAATTAAGTAAATGGTAGGGCAGCTGGTTCTGTTGGTTTAATTTTTGACGAGTTTACCTTGTTGAAGCCTCTTGGCCTTGATCTCACTTGTGTGCTAATCTGAAAGGAGTTTTATTTTAGCAAAGGCGTCCAGTCTATCAATTCACAAGGGGGCAATTTGTGGCAACAAGCAGCCATTTGATAGAGTGGAATAAATACTGAGTAGCTCATGATCACATCAATTTGATTCCTTTATAGATTTTATCACAAATTCAGAAGTACGACAATTTAATTACTCCGGTTGTGGATTCTTTGAAATACCTCACTTCCTTGAACTACGATGTCCTAGCCTGTATCCTTTCAATCAGTTGTTTGTAGTTTGTGCCATTTCTGTTAGAAGTCCATTTCTGTCTGTCTTTTTAGGGATGTGTTTCTTAATACCCTCTGTTCATTCATAATTAAAACGCTGTTTTAGATTCAGATGTATCCAAATGGCAGATGCAAACTATTTGATTTCTTTAAGACTGTTTTTTGTGTTAGTTGAATTCTCAGCGGTAACTAAGCAAAAGGCACTTCACCGTTCTTGATTGACCTTCAGAGAACTATAGTAGCATTTCATGAGCGCTTTCAAAATGAATTTTAGATTGTATCTTCAGAATGTCCTTTAAATGGACAGGACTGGTATGTTCAATACTGTTTTACTGTGTTCTCTTGTGAGTAGAAGCAGCACGATCTCCTTAGTTTCACCCTTTAATCATTTTTTTCTTCAAGACTACTTGCTAACACAAAGGCTCAATGAAGCAGATTTTTTTTTTACAGAATTTTTTAGCAAGGCTGGACCAAATTTTTTCTCAGTTTCCAACAGAAGCTTGATAAATTTGTTTCATTATTCCTAAAGTTTAAAGATGGAACACAGCATATTTCATAATACCTTAATGTATTTCATAACATGTTTTTTTTCTCAAGTTCTTATTATTCCAGAAGTACTTCTCTGAGGTAGTGCTTAACTGATCAGTCACCCCCAGCCACACAACAGTGGGCCTGTCACACAGCTGTCTGTCGCTGCATGCCAAAATCTAGCGGAGAGCTGGTAAAGCTCTAATTAAGGCTCGAATTTGAAAGTCATATGAAGTCTTGATTGCAATTTGCATTCCGTTTATCTGAAGTTCTTCTTGATGATTGTCCATCTTAGTATTTCTTTTAAGAAAGTATTAACTTGCGATCTTATAAATTCATAACGTGATCCAAATTAGCAAATTAGATGCTGTAATTAGTCTATAAACTGTTCTTAAGGCACAATTGTTAGTTTCGCTGCTTTTTTTTTACTTTGTTTCTTAACTTATGAAAAGATTGCATCATTGAAGCTTTGGCTAATCCCGAGAAAGAGCGAATGAAGCATGACGACACTACCATCTCTACCTGGTTGCAGAGTGAGTAAAATTTTCATTGTTTTAAAATTGCCAGCAACGATCGGAGTCGTTTAAGTTTTGATCTTAAGTTTCACCTGTCCTTTTAAGGGTGATAAAATTAAAATAATCCTTACTACTACTACTATCCAGTGTAGAAATGTACTGTTGTTAAAAAAAGATTTTCGTTGTATTAACAGCTAATGCGATTTGTCCGGCTGAGTTTTAAAGAATTGCTTTTATAACCTAAAATTCATCTGTTTGAACAGGTCTGGCCAGTTTTTGCGGTGCAATTTTCAGAAAGTACCCGATAGAACTTACTGGTCTTCTTCAGTATGTAGCAAACCAACTGAAGGCTGGGAAAAGGTAGAGTATTTGTACATGAGAAATAAAGAATTTTGCTGTTGATCCTCTGCAGCTCGTAGATGGTCACTTGAGGGTCTTTGAACATACTCTGGGGTGGCTATTCTGAATTCTTGCACCCCCCTCCACCCCCACCATATCTCTCCCTCTCTCTTTCTCTCTGTTTCTCTCTCTCCCCCCACGCGCACACACATGCACCCATGCGTGGTAGTGCCTACACTCTGCTTGGCATTTGGCATCAAAGCTGAATCATGGGCTTGTGACCAACCTTCTCTTTTTATCAACTTATCCTTTCTGGCAGTTATTGCCAACATTGTATATTATATGTTTGTATACGTTGTAGTGTGCATTTTTATTGATGGTTAATTGTATACTATCACCTCAGTGAATCCATCGCAACATTCACTACACTTATTATTTCAGGTTTCTGTTTCATCTTGTTTTCACTCCGTTTGGTGTCATTCCTTGCGTTATTCATGTCCAATTCCTGTCCCCTCGGCTTCCCATAGTTTTGATCTGCTGATCCTGAAAGAAGTGGTGCAGAAGATGGCAGGAATTGAAATAACGGAGGAAATGACAACTGAGCAGCTTGAAGCCATGACTGGTGGTGAACAGTTGAAGGCCGAGGTAAGAAAGATTTGCATTTACAACATTCACAATGGCTGAATTGACAATCGACTGGACTTGTAGCATCAAGAAATTTGTTGGATGAAATATATGGGCATGTTCCATGTGTAATTTAATCTAAAAGTAAGCTATTTCCAGTGGCATGGGAGTGTAGTTTTCATCATGTCACTGAAATAAATGGGGAGCAAGATTCCTCTTTATCACTATTGATGTTTTGCTGCTGTAGTGTTGTAAACACCTTGAAGGCGCTCTCCTGGTGAGAGGAGTTATTGATTCATACATTTATTTTCTTAACCGAATCTGTAACAGCAACTGCTAAAAATTGTTCATTGAATCTTGGGCGAGCCATGATTTTGCTTCATGATTTTCTATTTTTTTGCTGCTCTGGACAAAAGTTTTGTACCTCCAGTCAGGCAAATTTGAATGATTTTAAAATGTTCTCGTTGCGCAGAGGTGAGAATGTCAGCAAGAGATGAATGACGATAAGTTATCGATGGTTGTGGATTTTTCTTCTTCAAATCTTGGGAAAAATTATATGAAATGGGTTGCACGGTCTTTAGGTGTTTGCATGGACTGATGTGCTGTACAGTCAAAATTTGTAACCTTTTGTTGAGTTACGTTCAAGTGCCTGGAGTTGGTTCAGAACTGTTCCTGTACAACAAAAAATAGATTTTTTTATTTAAAAAAAAAACAAAGTCTGCTCCAAGACTGCAATCGGAATGAATGAAGTGCAGTGCAGCACTTTGAAGAATATCACTTAACTACTTCCCTTCACCTAGGTTAAATCCAGGCTGGACAATGTCCCTGAGCTCTTAGCTGCTAGTTTAATTACAGCCGCACGTGCAAAGATTATCTAATTGTCATCATAACTGCCACAAGTGTACGCAATTTAAGAAATACAGGAACACATCACTTGGTTAGTTCATCGTAAGAAAACATTAAAATCCAATCATCGTGTTTACATTGCAAAGACTCTGTATGTCAAAGCCAACATTGATATGCTTCCAGCATTAATTCTGCATCTTGGTTGATGCTGTAAGACGCATAGTCACTTTCATCAGTGGGCAGATTGACTGGTGCATCAAAATAATTCAGTCTCTTTAGTGTCTCTTGTTGATTTAGGCCTCTTAGAGTATTTTTCCTCAGGCCCTGGCCAATGCGACTTTGGAAGAGAAATCGAATTCCGACTTCCTGCCTTCGAAACGCTTTATTTCTGGAAGCATTCTAACCAGGTCATTAAGTACTACCTCAGGCAGTCAAACAATCAATCGCTCAAGGTTAGAATTCCCATTTCAACTGCCAAATTTGTCTCGGTTCCAAAGTGGGAGTGGATGAGTTGTTATTTGGTTCAAGCAATACTAAGGTATTTGTGTGCTTTAATCTAGGTAGGAATGTGACTCACTACTCAAAAAGAAGCTGAACGAATGTAAACTTAGTGAAGTAGCTTTGTTCTCAAGACTAAGCTCTGTTATTACAGTGCCATCTAAGAAGTTGATTCATTTAATTCGTGCAGCGGGATTCTTTTCCTGGCCCTAACGTGGGTCTTTGTTGTGGTTTTTCAGGGCGGATACTTTGGACAAATCCGTAACACAAAGAAGTCATCTCAGCGACTGAAAGATGCACTGCTTGACCATGACCTGGCACTCCCTCTTTGTCTGCTTATGGCCCAGCAGAGGAACTGTGTGATATTCCAGGAGGGTGGTGAGAAACATCTGAAATTAGTTGGAAAATTGTACGATCAGGTAAGATTACAAGCATTCAGTCACAGCAACATAAACTGATTTGATTGAAAACAGGAGAGACTGGCAACATGTTGAATTTGAGAAAGGAACTGTGTGATTATAAAATAATCCTTGCATTTGATACAGCACCTACAACATTGAGCAAGTGCTTCACAGAGAATTGCTGTCAAACATAGTAACTATTTGTTGGCAAACGCTTTGTTTCTGCAAGAATTCAAAAAAAAAAGCCACTTGCAGATTTAACTTCTTTAAATCTTATGGTCACCAAACTGTGCCCATCAGATTGCCTCAAAATTCTTGTTTAAATTTGAATTCAGATATTTAAAAATATTACTAAGTACTCAACTTGGAAAAAACCTCTGAATTTCCTTTATGAACCACACCATGTCTTCAAGATAAAGGAATGTTTATTCAAGATAATGTGTTTAGCACTGTCCACCGCCAACCTACATTTGCCTTTTTTTCATTTTGTGACACAAAGCTTGCAACCCAATAATAAATGTATCATTGTCAAATTAATTTTGGGGCATTGTAACTGGACTTTGATTCATATGAGCTCACTGGGAATGTGAGAAATAGTGTTGGGTGTCAAGAAATCCAATTTTGAGGCTAAACGAGAAACACTTATCTTGCTTTTGCAGTGTCACGATACGCTGGTACAGTTTGGAGGATTTCTAGCTTCAAATCTAAGCACAGAAGACTACATCAAACGAGTGCCTTCAATCGATGTTCTTTGCAACCAGTTTCACACCCCTCACGATGCTGCATTTTTCTTGTCACGGCCCATGTATGCACATCACATTTCGGTAAATAAACGCTTTGTCTGGTTACTTTACTGCTTCCGAAGAAAGTGTGAGTATTGCTTGTTTTCACCCCCCCCCCCTTTTGCTTTTAGACATATTGAATGATAGATTTTTTTTATCGTTCTCACAAAAAGTGCTACCTCAAACAGTGGCTTAGTAGTAAATTGGTTAAAGTATCTTAACCACATGTCTCTCCACTTGGCTTCAAACGCTGGCATTTATCTAACTTTGACACTGAGAAGTGAGATCTGTTGGCTTGCTGCCTGCATCAAGATGGAGTTGAGGTGGGTAATCGATTCTCTTGTTTTGTTTGCTCTTTCCTAGTCCAAATATGATGAGCTGAAAAAAGCTGAGAAAGGGAACAAGCAACAACAGAAAGTTCACAAATACATCAGTGCCTGCGAATTAGTCATGGCACCCGTCCACGATGCTGTGGTTTCGCTTCATCTCCCCAAAGTGTGGGACGACATCAGCCCTCAGTTCTACGCAACCTTTTGGTCCCTCTCTATGTATGACCTTGCTGTGCCCAGCACCAGTTACAACAGAGAAGTCAACAAGCAAAAGATCCAAATGAAAGCGATTGATGACAATCAAGAGATGGTAAGGATCCAGGCACTAATTAAAGGCAATTAGAAACCTCATGGACACAGCTTCTGTCTGTGGAAAGCCTAAATTTGTTGATAAAATCATAGCAATTTACTTGAAGAGAGAATCGCTTTGCTGTGTGATCTCTCCAACATAGCAGCTTTATTCACAACTCAGAGCAGCGTGAATTTCTGAAGCTGAACTATATCCTTGTGGAAGACATTGTGCTTAACCAAATGCGATCGCTCACAGTTTATAGAATTACACAGAATGTTACAGTTCAGGAAAAGGCCATTTGATCAGTGATTCGACTCCCAATTGAGCTGCCATCCCTTCCCCCCTCTTATGCTCTCTGTTCCCTTCTCTGTCATGTATGCATCAAGTTTCCCCGTAAGTACATTGATGGTTCTTTGATTCAACCACAGCTTTAGGCAGTGAGTTCCACATTTTCACCACTCTGCGGAAAGAAATTCCTCCTTAACTCCCTTTTAGATCTGCTACTTGGTAGATATATTTGTGCCCCCTTGTTGGACTTAACCCGTGTAAAGAAATATTAATGCCCACCTTATCAAATTCTTGCATAATTTTGAACATTTCTATCGAGTCCCCTCTCAAGTGTGTATATCTCACTGTAAAGGTTTTGGCAAGTTCATCCCAAAAATTTGTTTTTTTGTTAACCAGCCTCTTAATAAGAAGAAGAAGGAAAAGGAACGTTGCACCGCATTACAAGACAAACTCCAGGAAGAGGAAAAGAAACAAATGGAGCACGTTCAGAGGGTACTACAGAGGTTAAGGCTGGAAAAAGACAACTGGCTGCTAGCAAGTGAGTACTGAGACAATTGGGGACCGATTCCTTGCTTTGTGAAGGAAGAGACCTTAACTCTGCTTTCGTCTGGTTAATTCTAAGAGAAGTTCAATAATTTTGCTTCTTTCAGAATCAACCAAAAACGAGACGATCACCAAGTTCCTCCAACTGTGTATCTTCCCAAGATGCATCTTCTCCGCCATCGATGCGGTTTACTGTGCAAAGTTTGTGGAATTAGTTCATCAGCTTAAGACGCCTAACTTTTCTACGCTTCTGTGTTATGATCGGGTAAGTCTATTTTTTTCTTCTTTTCAAGCTGGAGGACTGGAATTTGTGTACTTTTTTGGGGGGAATCTTCTTTACCTTGAATGGGCATCTTCTCATTTCTTTCAGGTCTTCTCTGATATAATCTACACCGTTGCAAGCTGCACAGAAAATGAGGCCAGTCGCTATGGCAGGTTTCTCTGTAGTATGTTAGAGACTGTCACCAGGTGGCACAGTGACAGAGCGATCTATGAAAAGGTAACCTTTCATCATTACTTTACACACAGCAAGCGGTGGCAGATTCTTTTTATATTTGTTGTCCCGTGTTTTCTTAGCAATCCTCACTTCACATCAATGGATTCCAGTTTTTTTTGTTTAACCTTATAATCTTGCGTTCATTTCTCTTGTGATCTTGTTTATTTTTCAGGAATGCGGTAATTACCCAGGTTTTCTCACAATTTTACGAGCTAGTGGATTTGATGGCGGAAACAAGGCTGACCAGTTAGACTATGAGAATTTCAGACACGTTGTACATAAGTGGCATTACAAATTGACCAAAGTAAGCATCGCAGACTTTCTTTGAATGTTTATACAGAAATATTGACTCCGGTGCCCTTTATTGCTGTCACAGGGAAAATGTGGCTTGAAATAAAGGAAGAGCCTTTCCTGTGCTAGAGTTCTGAGAAGAGAATTGAATTGCAATCCGTTATTACACTGTATGCATTTCTATAAGATACATACATCAGTTGGAACTCTAAACCCATCTCTGAAATCCGTGGGGTGGGGGGCTAGAGGATGGGAAGATGGCAGATTCCTTGTCCACTGAGAACAACTTTAGCCCAACCATTTTGAGAAGGGTGAGGGAGGCTGGGATAACAGTGTACATTGGGTTCTGTTCAATATTGTGCGTCTCGACCTATGGAGATTATTTGCACATAGGTTCTGAATATTCTTATCACTATTAAAAAAAACATTTCTAACTGTTTATCTAAGCATTGGGTGCTGTCCTGGAAGATTTACTGAGCCTTGACAGTGAGGAAGCTGGATTAGTATACACAGTCGTTGATGATCATTCCTCCATTAATATTAATTTAGCTCACTCAGTTAGTCAACAATTCTTCAGCCATTACCCCAACAAGCTATCAGTGTTCGCCCTTTAAACAAAATCAATCAAAACTGGAGAAATTAAAGTTCACTCAGTGCTCCCCCTACATGTCAGTTAGTAAGAGTGCCCTGTTTGGAATTCTATAATGATGATGATAATCGTCCTTGCATTTTATATAGCGCCTTATCATGTTGTCGAGATGCCTCAAAGCCCTTCGCAAGGTATATTGTAAAACGGATTTACTGTGTTTTGTGGGTGAAATTAATTGAACCCTGTATACTTGTAATGACTCCAGTTCAATCCTGAAGTCTGTACTGACTCAGCCGGCTTCTTTGTCGATCTTCCCCCAGCCTTAGTATCGTAATTGCATTTGAGGATTTCTGTGTTACCTTCCTGCTTCGGATCATGGGATCAGTGTTTGAGTGCTGCTAAAAATAGGACACCGACTTAACTCTGTTGGGTAACGACTTAAGTAGGTTGCAGTCCCGTGGAGCATTGCTCAAATGCTGCCTCTGGGATTTGGAAACCAGTCTTGACAGCTTCCTGATTTCCAAGATGGTGGCAGAACTTGTTTGAAATCAAACCATTGAGCAAAGGTTGATTTCAGTCCCACAAGAAGTCTCTCTAGCTGTGTGTGGAAATATGCAATGTTTCTGAACCAATTCAATGTCGCATTGAATCTGCTCTGAAATGTTGCATGTTACACCAGAAGCGCATTTTTGTGTTATTTCCTCCACCCTCTCCCTCTCTCTCGTTCTTTTTGGTGTGTTATATACGCTCGAGTTATGATTTCAGAAAGTTGCACAGAACATTTTTTTCGGGTGGTGAGGGGGGGGGGGTGGAATCAGTCTTTTTTTGCTCAGACAAAACTGGTTTCACTAAATATGAATGAACGCACCAAACTTCGAGATCTCAAGCGCAAAGACACAAAGCCGATTGTAAGCCACCTTATGTTTGAATTATTCCATTTGTGTTTTTTAGGCATCCGTTCACTGCCTTGAAACTGGAGAGTACGTGCATATCCGGAACATATTGATTGTTTTAACTAAAGTCCTCCCATGGTATCCAAAAGTGCTCAATCTGGGTCAAGCGTTGGAGAGAAGAGTGCATAAAATCTGCCAGGAAGAAAAGGAGAAGAGGCCTGATCTATACGCTCTGGCTATGGGGTAACAAAGTGAAATCAAATGATTGTCATTTAATGGGAAAAAAACATGTGCTTTGTGTTGTCGTGATGAGAATATAAAGGCACCTTCTCCATTTTCTAATCCTTCAAAATATATATCTTGAAATTAGAATTATATCTGCATGTTTTCAGAAAAAATGAAAAGTACACGTAAAATTAATCGAAAATATTTTGCAAAAGTCAAGTCGATTTATACATTTTTTTAAAAAAAATAACATTTTTCGGTGTTCAAACTTAAATGCAGGGATTTTTCTTTTTTTTAAAAAGGACAAAGATGGGTTGCCAAAAGCACTTGTACGGCAGGGGGAAAATAACCGACTGGGCTTCATTCAACGCATCCATTTATTAAGATGCCAACCGTTGAAATCACGGTGACTGATTGTTTAGCTAATGTCTGGATGGGCAAATGCTGAATGAACAGCCATCAATATTCTATCTGAAAACTTCAGTTGAATCCTTTTGCTACCACTAGGTGGTTGTATTACTCTGTAATAACGACACACTAAGAAAATACCAAATCGTTTCACCGAGGTCCTGTGATGGATATGACAACTTGATTTTGTGCCACAGACCTTTAGCAGTTTAATCTTAAATAGGGGTAGACAGTTAATCTGAGATCTAGATGTTTTTCCCTGAGCTTCTCTACCTTTTATGCACTGCTATCCAGCACTATTCAGCTGCTAAAGAATCGGTGTAATTTAGTTTTGAAGTGAGCAAATTGGAATTCTCACAACTGAATTGATTTTTGAATATCTGCAGAGAATGACCAATTGTCTACTCTAAGGTGGTTTATTCACAGAGCATTTTGCGCAGAGAAACCGGTTTATGTCCAGTTTTCGACAGGTAGCTTTTGATACGTGTAATTTTTTTATGGTATTACAAATTAACTTGTTTGTTTGCAGGATTTCTTTTGCAATACAGGAAGTTTTTTTTAAAAAAAAAAATGAGTGATGGTTGATGCTTTTTGATAAACCCTGAATATTTTGGACTGCTTTTAGTTCATAGACTTTTCTATATAAAAAAAATCCAGCTACTGTAGGGTTGAGAGTCCAGAGGTTAGATGCACAAAATGCATTGTCAATCAGAGAGGTGTCATTCCAGCATATAAGAGTGTCTCAACCACAGAAACGGTGTACAGTGTAGAGAGTTCATGACCATGGCATTTGGATTACAGCAAGAAGTGAAAGGCCTGTTCCCAAGATTGGGTTTGGGAGATCATTTCTTCTTCTTCTTCGAGAGCGGCTTTTTATATAAATAAATATTTTTCTTTGATTTCTAGAGAGGATGAATTAAGTAGACGCGAGGTAATTTTACTCGACCACCAAATAGATGTTTCGTTCCCTTGTTTTCTGCTGTTTTAACACTTTGTGCGACTTGCAGCTATTCTGGCCAGTTGAAAAGCAGGAAACTTTACATGGTTCCTGAAAATGAATTCCACCACAAGGACCCACCAGCCAGGAGCACCACGCCTTCAACCGTTCAGAATGGGCCAGGCACTCTCACACAACCCGCGGCAGCAACTGCCACTGCAACTAAACCAGAAGAGGGCTCTGCTGAGGAGACTGGTACGAGCATTCGGACGCCGAGTGTAGATCAGCCCTCAAAATGTCATAGCTCATTGATATAATTACTTTATTGCCACCCATTCAGGGATTTGACCAAATGGGAACTTTGGTTAACTTCATTAGCATTAGATGTGCCAGCAGATGCTAAAAAGTTTATTTTATATGTATGTTACACATTTTTTTTAATATATATCTATACACAGTGTGTATGAATGTCATCAGGACTATTGACAGTTGAGAAGAGGGAAACAAAGGTCAATAAGTGACTTAAACTATATTCGTTTTATTCTACATTAGTTTTAAATGTTTTGGGGACACACACACACACACAATGAGCAGTTTCAAGGCTAACAGTAGAGCCGGGTGGGGAGTAGATTAAATGTTAATGTGCTGAATTAGAACATCGTTGGGGAGCATTGCGCTGAGGTAACCCATTTACGAAGTGATGAACACGCACGGAACCTTTGTTAATCACTTGGCCAAAGGTATTTTTTTTTCAATAACTGATTTATAATTGGTTAAAATATAGGTTTGTGTTCAAATATTTAGCTATTCTTAAAAATATATTCAAGCAAGCATATTTTTGAATATCTTTTATTCTGAGGTATCTTTCTATTCTGTGTTCAACAGATAAATTGAAGGAGAAATGTCAGAGTGCTGTCAAAGTTACTAACAAAGCTGCGAATGCAACACCAAAAGTCGCATCAAGCAATGGAAGCAGTGCTGTAAATAGGTGAGAACACTGCATTCTGCCAAAGTCTTTCAAGGATAGAAGCGTTCTACTTCAGAGTACTTGCCAGATGTCTGAATACTTAAGATAATTGTAGGTTGGCAGCCAACATTTATATTGATCAATGTTACAGGTGGCACTTTTAAGGATTTGATTAATGGAATTACATATTTTTTTATCTGAATACACGTGATTAGCACGTTTTTGCAGTAGTGGGCGTGTTTACAGATCTGATTTATGGATTATGAACTGTTGGCTTTGTAAAAATAGCCACTTTCTGACAACTGATCGCCTGGATGATTGATTGCTTTCTCGAATTTTGTGGCACTTCTGATTTTTTTTTTAAAAAATCGGCTGTGTTTCCGAAAATTAGGATTTATAACGCTGTTTGTTCGTAATCCGTCAATTGCAAGGAAATTCATACAGGCACTAAAGGAGGAGAAAAATCAGTCACTGGTTCTCATTTTAAATAGCGGGTATCGCCATAAGGAGCTTGATTGGGGGGGGGGGGGAAAGCTGTTGTAAATATTTATGATTAGCTTTGACATTCCTGTGTTTTTGTAACCTTTTTTGCTGGTGCTCAGGATGGGTGTGGGGAGGTAACAAACAAATTTTCAGACCAAATGCTGTTGAGAACAAGAGTTTTGACTTGGAAGAGTTATTAGTAAATGTAAAAGTGAAATTCACCCTTGTAGGTAACTATTATTGTTACTCCATAAATGCAGGCGTCTGTTTTGAGTTTGACATTTGAGATCTTAGCTGGTTGTTAAGACTGCTGCTCTGCTTGCAACTTGATTGAAGCTACTGTATTAGTGGTAGAATCATAAATTAATCTCGTCTGACAACGATGTTCAAGTCATGACAATTGTTACTTGTTTTACAGCAACAAAACCACAAAAGATAAAGAAGAAAAAGAAAAAAGTGGGAAAGAGAAAGATAAGGAGAAGAAAGATAAAACAATCCAAGCTGTCACTCCAGAGGCAAAAATAGGAAAAGACGGGAAGGAAAAATCAAAAGAAGAAAGGATGAACAAAGAGGAGAAATCGCGGGAGAGCAAGGAAAAAACCCCGAAGACCGAGAAGGAGAAGGACAAGATGAAGAAGGAAGACAAGAATGCCAAGGATGACAAGTCCAAGTTGACCTCGAGCAACACTGAAGCAAAATCGCATGGAGAAAAGGAGAAAGATAAGGAGCCACTCAAGGAGAGAGATGCACTGAAGGATGGCAAATCCAAGGAAATTCATACAGGCACTAAAGGAGGAGAAAAGTCAGGCACTGCTGGGTCCTTGAAGTCGCCGGTTCCACGTTCAGAATCTGCTGAATCTGATAGGGGTAAGATTAACCACCTGTTGGGGACTGTAATTGTCGAGGGAGAACGTTTAAAGCATGACTATAGTAGCAGCAGTAGTAGTCAAAATAATAATACTAATCCTTGCATTTGATATAGTGCCTTATCACGTCTTCAGGATGTAGTCAATTCACTTTACAGTATATTCTGTGAAGCACTTTGAAACATTTTTGTAGAGATGGCGAGCAAGATTTACAATAGTCTCCGGCTGCGTATTTTTTAGCTCTTCATCCTAAACGTACATAAGACAAAGTGTATAATTTAGCAATAAAAGTGCACATTCATTTGAATCAACAGTACAAGACTGAAGTAATTGAGGCATTAGTTTGAAATAACCAAATACCTGGGGCATTAAACGATCTTGACGTCTAATTTCATTAATGTTTTATTATAATAATCATTGCATTTGACATAGCGTCTTATCGCGTCGTTGACACTTCTCAAAGCGCTTCGCGGAATATACTGTAAAATGAATTGACCCATATATTTTGTGGACGAAACTACAATGCGTTGGTCTATTGTTAGGTTAATGTTGGGAATTGTACTATATTGTAATTTCTTATCTGTTTCAGAACAAAAACGGCGCAAACTTGATTCCCACTCTTCACCATCACATTCCACAACAGTAAAGGTTAGTATAGCCTAAGGAAGGCAACGGCAATATTTGGCTCTCCTGTTTGGAATACCAGTGTTCTGGAAATATCCGTCTTCCTTCAAGTGAAACAAGGTGCACGTTGGAGCCTCTGGAGGTTTCTATTTAATAGAAAATGCATTCCTTTTCTTTATTGGTGGACATTTTTGTAAGCAAATTTTTCTATAAAAAAGGCTTCAAGGACCTAGCCAAAATTGTAAATAGTATGAGGAGAATGCAAGAAATTTTTCTCAGAAGTGCCTCAAATTATTTTAAGTGGTCAGTTTTTGGAGTGCAATAAATGCTACAAGCAAAATAGCTTCCGAGTGGAGTCGCCAAAAAAAAAGTCAGCACTGAGAGTGAAGAATGGTATAGCACTGAAGAATGTCGGAGATCAGAATGACCGGATGCCTCTGGATTCATCAGGCCTGATGATGAGCGTCCTACCAATTCGTGCCTTCTAGGAAGGAAATAATGGAGGGGATTCCGTTAAAGTCTATAAATATCTCCTCGGTGATCAGAGCTCCTGTAGTTGTGTAAATTCTGTCAGCATGCAGCTGTTGGTAGTGTCTTCCCTTCGTGGGTTTGTTTTCCCTTGGGGTGCCCACCTTTTGAGTCCTGCTCTAGGATAAAGCAGATATGGCAGCAAAGCCAGCCTTCCAGCCAAGAGCGCCCGCCCGCCCATGGCATTCTACGCAACACGAAACGTGGGTGTGTCCTAATGGAAGAATCAGGGCAGATGCTTCCTTGCACCGTTTGCTGTATTTATTTTATTGTAGATGAACCCCACGAGTCCTTGAGTTTGCAGTGGGTTGAAACTTTGAGCTGTAAGTTTCCAGTACCTGGATGCATTGCACTGGAAGGGAGGTTAAAGAAGCGATCTGTGGTTTGTTCAGCTGCACCTCCAACACTTTCATTGACATTAATTGTTAATCACCTAGTTAGCTTACACAGGAAACAGTATTATATAACACCACACGTAAAGGTTTATAATTTAACTTGGGTCTATTTTGTTTATGTACATTTGGTAACAGTAACATTTTGGATTACATTTTATAATAACACTAATAAGTCAGGGCATTTTATGCCTTAGCTGATTTTGTAAATTACCGTTAAGTAGCAAGAATATTAATATGCACTAAAATTGTAAAGCAATGCAACATGTAAGAGAAGGATTAAGACGTGTCTTAAAATATTTCAGTAACGATTTGTATCCTACCTAGTAAACTGTTTCCTGATATCTAGATTTTCAATTTTTATAAATCCATTGTTATAAAGCTTCCTATCTTGTCCAGTAAGCATTAATGATTTTTAAAGCCTAGTTCCTAAAGGTGTTAACTGCATGTCAGAAGCAAGACATTAGAGGGGTCGTCACCTTGCATCCCAAAGCCCTCTGGTATCTGAGAAGCGCTGCAGCTCATCTGTCATCTCCATTCATTCCTACAGGATGGTCTCGGTGAACACAAGGAGTCGTCAGCAAAGGTTTGACACTTAACGCTTATTTTGACAACTTTAACCATTTACGTTTCTTAATCGGCCCCGAAACCCTTGCGCCAATAAATGGCCGCACCCGCCATTTAATGGTTTAAAACTGCCTGCTTTCTGATGTTTATTTATTTGTTTAAATTGAGACAACCTGTTCTACGGTGTGCAGCTGTAAAAGAGTAAAATAATCATGGAATGTATGTCATATTTTATATCTGGCTTGTGAAAGAAACTAAGGACAAAGATGGTCTTTGCAAAATTGTTTTTTTCTTTGCGAAACATCTTTCCGAAATTGTTCACCGTTGAGGTGTAGAAGTACACTTCACGGAAAGGTCAAAATCGGACTTATAAATATGGATGAGTGTCAATAATGTACATACACTACTGGATGAATTGCATAATTGATGTGAAAAAAAATGAGATTAAAGTGAAATGACTTGGTCAAATTGGATTTTGTTAGAAATGAAATACATTTGCTTGTTAGCTTGAATTGGCTTTTAAAAAGACCCTTGATTCGAAGGCTTTTTATAAGCACAGTCTTATAATAAGCCATTGCATGCTTATTAAGTAAATTAATGGATAGGAGAATGAAGGTGTTTTGAAATTACTTTTCTTGCACTTGTCCAAGGTGTGGGTGAGCCCTGCCTTCTCTTAGATACCAATTCAGCGCAGAACAATGCTGAGCTAAATATTTTAGGCATTCATTTCTAAAATGAATGCAGGGGGCAAGAGGAGAACTGGTACATCATGTTGTCTCATGGGTTGAATGGATGAGAGGAATGTGTGCACACACCGATGTCGTTTGCCGACCTCAGCACCTGCCATTTCAGGCTTCTGTTGCTATCAAATATAAAGAAATAGTCGGATTTCACCCTCTCCCCAAAGGAGATTGCCAAGTAGGCAAGCAACCACTCTTGAGAATTATAGCAGATCTGAGCCTTTGTCAAATCAAATCATAACATCTGCTCTCATCAGTTCGCACTTTGTATTTGAGCAATCTAGGACATTACTTGGAAAAAGAATCTTAAAGATGTGAGCTCCGAATTATCTTGGCAGCATTTTATTAATGTAGTCTTAGTCCTGGTTAGTAAAGTGCACCTAGGACAAAACATTTTTAGCAGCAGAAAAATGAATCACCGTGTGAGTAATTTAATTGTTATATTTGACCGTTTAATACAAATCATCAGAGAACGTCAAACAATGAGAAATGGCGTATAAAAATATCTCCAGGCCCATATGAATAAGTAAAAAGATGAAGCTTTTTAAATGGAGATGAAGAAGAACTTTGCTTCGTTGTACAACACAAGTTGATATTCTGAAAGGTCGTGTTCCCGATTTTGTCGCCTACATCGTCAATTTTTTGCTTCGTGAAAGACGTGTTGCAAAGGTAATCCTTTTTCATTGAAGCTGCGTTCCAATTTGTGCAGTATAAGTATAGAATGCAAAACGTCTGCATTTAAGGAAATATTTATCTAAATCTGCACTTTGGATGTATTTTGCTGAGCAGGTTGAAATTCAGTCCAATACACAATTACTTAGCACCTTCCATGTGAGGAGGATGTTCCAAGGCGTTTGGGAAAAGCACTTGCTGTTGGAATTTTGCTGGCAAAAAATTGTGTTTGAAATATATTGTCTGTAAAGCCCTTTGAGATGCTTTGCCTTGATGAGATGCTTTGAATGTTTGCTTCTGCAGCAGTCATTTCATTCTGTTCAGAGATTTTTTTGAGCCAGCCAGAAAATGCAAGAGGAGGTGTTAAACAGATCCAAACGTTGTGGGAGTGGGGTGGGTGGTGGGAGCGAAGAAGAAACAGCAAACAAAAACAGAGAGAGCCGGGAACACTCAGCAGGTCAGGCAGCATCTGTGGAGAAAGGAAAGTGAGTCAATGTTTCGGGTCCACGACCCTTCGTCAGAACTGCAAAATAGTTGAGTTAATTGGTCTTTCTGTTGCAGTTGCCCCAATTAGCCTCCGTGCTAATATAAAATCAAAAGTCGCTGGGAACACTCAGTTGGTCAGGCAGCATCTGTGGAGAGAGGAAAGTGAATAAAGTCCCGCTTTCCACTCTCCATAGATGCTGCCTGACCTGCTGAGTGTTTCCAGTGACTTCTATTTTCATTTCAGATTTCCAGCAGCTGCAGTATTTTGCCTTTAGCCTCTGAGTTGAGGAGCCGAATGAACCAGGGTACATGCTCCTGATAATTACACAGGGGATTCTTTGGGTGAAGTGCACATTTACGGACATCGTGGTGAGGACAGGATTGTACCCAACATCTCTACCAAGTGAATTAATGGCACTTACTGTGTTGAGTAATCATGAAATTACTACAGTGGCACTTTGATCATCTGGTTTCTCAATCATCTGCCTCTCCCTGCTCTGCTCCTGCTCACATTTAAACGCAGTCTTTAGCAATTTGCAACATGAATAACTTGAACGCTCACAGCTTAGAATTTCCTGTGAGCTGTAATGTTGCATTCAGTGCTTCGAATAAAGGCCGCAGTGCTTCATACTCATTCGACCAGCGAAACCTTGATTATCCGCTGGGGGAGCAGAAGTCCTTCAGTGGAACAGATAATCGAGGTTCCACCAGACTAACTTTAAAACATCACTCATCAGCCCATGCTCTTTCAGCTAAAGGATGGCGTGTGGAGAAATACTAGATGTGTTGAGGGAGAATCGGAATAATGTGAATAATCATTTTAAGGCTCTGGAAACGAAGAGGAAAATGTTACTTTCGATTTAATAATCCGCAATTGCACAATATTAAACCGATGAGGATCATGTTGGATAATCGTGTCCAGAGTTCCAGTAAATATCACCTGGAATTTTTTGTCTGCCCCATTTTTTCCTATTTAAAAAAAAATCTACGGTTGAATGGATAAATTAAAAAAAAATTAAAAGGGTGGGAAAGGGAAAAGCAAGTATTCCCAAAGGGCATTTTATAAAGGGCGTAGTCCAACCACACTGACAGATTTCTGAACCCCTTTTCTTGAAGATGGTTCATATTGAGGTCAAGGAAAAGCACTTGAATGTTCCATTCCAGCCATTAACCTGGCTTCAAGCTGCATCACAATAATAATTTTTACACTGTAATCATGTTAGTCATGCCAGCGAAGGAATATTTTGCCGTTATTTATAGGTTTCTAATTCCACTTTGTAATCAGCGTAACCTGGTTAAGTATTGAGCAGCAATTATCATTAATTTAAGTTCTTCCATTTTACCTTACTTTATGTTGCCGGAGGATATGTCAGTCATCTGTTCGAGATGAGCATTTATCATCTCCTGTATCACGCTTTCTTCGCTGCATTAATCAAAAAGAGATCTGCAAATTTCTGATCAATCGCTGTTTTCTGTGAAGTACTGGGTACCTTCCTGTATTGAAAGAATTACGATGCTCCAGTTCCAATAGGAGCTGATTGCTTCATAACTGAGAACTTACTGCTGGGCTCGTGCGTGCTTTCGCTGAAGCTGGGCAAATGATGTTTGAAACGTGCAGTTAAATTAACTTGGTTCCTCCTCCTGTGCTGTTGGTTTTGTCGCATCTCCTCTTTGGCAAACATGGCAGGAATGCTGCAAAAACACGTTGATGACTTTCTGATGTGTGTTTAATAGAAAAAAAACACAATTTCCCTATTTAGGTCACCTTGTGCCTGCCCCAGGTTGTGAATGTGTTCAGACACATGAGTTTGCCCTTTTCTGTTCAGACCTTTCCCAGTCGAAGCAGCAGATTTATTTCAACTGAACTGATTTTTTTTTATTAAAAAGGAAACTTACTGCCCCCACCCCCCCCTCCCCACACGCACACACACAGACACACAAATCACAATTCCAGGTAATGTTTTTCTAGAGTTGTAGACTCAAAAGGTGCAGCGCAATAAAATAAGTTAATATAATCTCACTGAGCTGTGCCGTGCAGTGAATTTATGTTGACCATTTTGAATGCTTCTATTATTTTGGTGCCGTGCATGTTCATTTTCCACTGGTTCCCTGAGAACGTTAAGGCTGGGCAGCTGTAAACCACTGTCAAAATATACCTATTAAAGTGGATTCAGATAAATATTTCCGTAAAATGTAGATGTTTTATATTCAATTTTTACACATTTTTAACTATTTTGCCTATTTCATTAAGAGTTTTAATTCATCCAGCAGCGCCTTTTGATGCTCGAAATTGCATTTGTGTGAATATTAAGATTTACATGTTTCGGCCTGCATTAGATTATTTATACTCGGGGATGAATACATGTGAAAAAGCTCTAAAATGCAACTGTATATACATTCACAGTGTTCTTTTCCCATTAAAACTGATGCAGCGTGACTTTCTGTTGTGGGTCAGCAAATTCAAGAGGGAATTTGATAGCTATATGACGCAGAATTCATCCAATGGTTGGTGGGTGTGGTTGGTGTTGGTGGGGATGGTTGGTGTGTGGGTGTGATTGGTGGGTGTGTGGTGTGTGTCAATTTACAATTTTTTGGGAGGGATGACAGAAAATTTACTCTGGGACCAGCCTAATGGACTGCAACAATCTTTACCGTGTGCCAATGAGCAACCTCTGGAAAATCTGTGGGACATTTGTGTGACTTACTGGTAAAATAAACTATCTCGGAGGGTATAGTCAGTCCCAAGGAGTGTAATGTGCTATGCAAGGTGCAAATTGCAAGTAATGCAGAATCAAAAATGTTTTTACAAAACTATTTGATATAATAATATAATGATCTTTACATTTGATGTAGCTCCTTGTCACGTTGTTGAGTCGATATGGCATGATGTCAAACTTGGGGGCTGAAAGCAGCCACTTTTTTTAATTCTGAATTGCAAATCTAGTTGTGGATATTAACTCTTCGACCAAACCTATTAGAATAAATACAACTTTTTTTTAAAAAAAGCACACATTCTAATCCTTTTTATCTTGATTTTATTTTCCTTCCCAATTCTCTTTATTTTCTGACTTCGTAACATCCCCCACCCCGGTTGGTGTTCACTCTGATAATGCCTGAGGGCCTATGTTACAATATTTTTTTAATTAACTACACACCAACAAAAACAAATTGCATTGACAGAGTGGCTTTCATGTCGGAAGGATGTCCTTAGGCGCTGAAATATTTTACAGAGGATAAGAAGTTCAAAGGTGGAGCATTGAGGCGGTTCCACAGAGATGAGGCCACACGTGTCTGTCTCTTGCACAAATCCCATGAGAAACGAGGGGCCGGATTCATAGACAAATTTGCCACCGCAGAGAGAACATACTCCTTGTCAGTGCTTCAAGAGTTGATAGAGCTGTTGTACAACCTGCTTGTATAATTTATGTGTAATTTGTCTGTGATTAACATTATAAGAATTATGGTTTTGTTCATCACAGGGTAAAGGTTGAATTTGTTTCATGTACTTTTGATCTTGAATTTGCACACAATATGAATTTAAATTTTGTTGAGCATTAGTTTTTTTAAAATTGCTTTTTATTAAAGAACCTATACGAGTCTTGTGATCTGACGCCACATGATGGTTTAAGAACTACCTAGTTTACTGATGTGTCCAGTCTCCGTTCAGTTTGTGAACTGAATTTCACTTGTATTATTCAGATGTATTGCTAAATTACTACCAGCTAACAAGCAAATGTATCATTGTGTTGAAACTATTGCAGCACAAAACTGAGGAGTTTCATGTGTGTGTATGTTTGTATGGACTTTTAATGAAATACTGTTGGAGCACTGTGATCGCAAGTATGCATTACATCATTTTTAACAGCACCATAGCCCACATCATACCAACCATAGCACAGGCACACAGTCTAAGAGCAAAGAAAGGGAGATGGAGAAGAAAGAAGTGGAAAAGTTGAGGGATCGATCAAGAGAGAGGGAAAAGAAAGAAGAAAAGGAGAGGAAAGACCGTAAAAGGGTAAGGCACAATCTGAAAAATAAGATGGAAACAATTCTGCCTTTTTGACACTGGTATTTTTCATCTCTCTCCGGCATCTCGTTCAAAATGTTGCATCATATCATTTTGAGAAATGTGGGTGCATATTTTTCTTTGACTTTTAAGACCATTTTCCCTCGATTCTGATGAAGCTTCTGAATGTTCCACCATTCTGGAAATGTTCCAATTGGTAAATAAGTTTAGATGCTGACACCAACTCCTCCACCAATTTCATCACAAGACTCTGCATTTTGCTGTTAAATAGTCCCTGTTGATATTTGTGGATTGAGTTCATACATTTTTGTAAAAGTTGGTATTCATTTGAGATTAATCCATCGTTCAATTTTCATGCAATTAGTTTTTATGGTTTTCAACTCATAATGATTACTTCCAATTAGGAGGGTAGAGAGATTCCGTTCAGATCTTGCTTTAGGTTTGTTTAATTTAAAGCGGGAACAGAAAGAGGGCGATCTATGTTCTTGCGAAAGGTCGACATTTACAATCAGTTAATTTATTACACATTTTACGGGATATTAAATTGCTGTGAATTTGTGACCGAGTTACTGCAAATAAAAACAAAATCCACAGAACCATCAGAAGTTGAAAGAGGAAAATTAAGTGAAAAGTCATGCTTGGAATGTTAAACCAGACACCAGTTGATCTGTTCATTTTCAGCGTAATCCTTTTTATTTCAAAATCCTAGCCTATGTGAGCTTGTTGCAGTTTCATTGTATCGTCTGGCTTTTGATCTATGAGAGCGAACATTTACTTACTTTTGCTTCTAAATCTTTTTGATATAGATGAAAAGTGTTTTTTTGCAATTCACTTCCCAGGATCATTCGAATAGCGATCGAGAAAATGCACTAGAATCAAAACGTCGTAAAGATGAAAATGGAACTGGTAAGTTCGAATATCAAATCGTCAGTTGTGTTCAGGCTGTTTAGTCATTGAAGGTAGAATTTCCGAAGGGTCAATCCATTGAACCTTGAGGGCTGAGAACTGTTGTAATATAAAAGAAACACAATCGAGGATTTCAGCTCCCTTGCTGGAGTTTAAAAAGGATCCTACTTTGAAACTGACAGACCCATCTGTACCTGCTTAATGATGGCGTCAGTTGATAATCCACTTGCCTTGTAGCATTGGAATTAGAAATTCAGTTTCCACCTTCCCCTTTCCCAGTAGTGTCATCGTTGTTCATTGTTCAAACAGTTTAAACAGTAGAGAGAAAAATCATTAATGTCAATCACTTTTTTTGTAATATTTGATGTTGGTAAATAAGTCTCGATGGTGAGACTCTCCAGCTGGTTGCATGATGTGGATCATTTCCATTTTTCACAGACTGATTTAATACAGTGCTTTGAGCAAGAGGTGCTATTCAATGCTTCTGTGGGAAATAATTTGTCTTCCACTGCATTTCTCAATTGGACTCCAGCTTTCCATCACAGGCTAAGAAATTGCGAGGAAACGAAATCGAGTAATCTGACTTGCATTTCCTATTCCAGTGTTGTTTTCCAATATCCTATGATACTGTACGTATTAATTAAAGGCAGCCTTCAGCCTATCACAGAACCCCTTCGAATAGATTTGGGTTTACTTATCGATCCATAAATCATAATATCTACTTTTTTAGGTTTTCCCCCTGCGCGCTCTTTTGAAAACAAACTTAAAATGTTCCCTCAATGGGAATCCAGGTTTTTTAAAAAAAAACATTGCTCCTGTGTTTGATAAGGTACAGCAATGTTGAGTCTTTTATTTAGTGATGGGGAGTTATGTATTGGTAATACTGTATTCTCCTGTGTTCCGGTGACTTCAGTATGAGAACTAAGAAGTCCGTCTGTTAACAGGTGGTTCTGGAAAGCGGAGTAAAAGTGGAAGCCCGGCAGATTCCCCACGCCCGAGCGAGAAAGAGAAGAGCAAGAGTTCCAAATCGGGTTCTGGCAAAGACCGGGACAAGAACGATTCCATTAAGTCTGAAAAAGTAGAAAAAAGTTCGACAGCCAGCAAAAAGGTATCGTAGCTTTGCGTACAACAAGGGGGCGATGTCTTTACATGTCGGGTGTAGAAATTAAGAGGTCGGAAATTCCACTTGATCTTCGCTTGCGAGAACAGTTTTTGTTTTGAATGTTAAGAACTGCACAAAACTGAAAAGTTCTTAATTTGGAAGCCGCCTTTTCTTAGTTCTGAAAAAGAACCAGCTTCCAAATTCAGTGAGTTTTAAGATATTCCACAATTCTAGACTGTTAAATTTTGACACACGGTGCTTAAAAAATTTGGCCTCTTTCTTCCCAGCTTACCATTAAAATTCCAAATATGTTAACTAATGGTTTCTAATGCTAATGGAGAAATATGGGTTGGGATATGTGATACATCAAACGTGAAAGTGTTCTCGATGCACTCAGTGCTTTGACGCGTTGTGTTTTTGCAGGAATCCAGACACGATAAAGAAAAGGAGAAGAAAGAGAAACGCGAGAGCGGGGGTCTGAAAGACGACAAAAAACAATATCCTTTTTTTTCATTGCTGCCAGTTATTAGCTGTAGTGGGTCATTAATACTTCTGCATAAAAAGTTAAGTTTATTTCATTTTGTTCTTGGGATATTGCCTACGAATCCTTAAAATATATTTCACTGAACTAACATTGGGCACAAATTATATTCAATTGGATTTCAAGATTGCCACTGACAGTTAGTGTCTCTCGCTGTGACTCTTGCTCAATATGTCCTTGGGTTACTTCTCAGAATGTAAATCGTTGCATTAGAATGTAATAGCACAGCTGATATCTTTGCTGTTCTATTTTTCTTAACTATTGTACTCATAAATCCTCAGAAAAACATAGATAATGAAGAATGATCGAAATAAACGGTAAGATCTTATTTTCTGACATTTTCATTTAAGCGCCTTTTTTTAAAACTTTTTGAGTGCTGTGGAGTGCTGAAATATCCAGCATTTTTTTTATTGCAAAACAATTCCCAGCCTTTATAAAAGTCCTTATTAGATCTGTCTGATGTAAATCGGCAATGTATGCTCATCTGCTCCAGCTGAGTTTACATGTCTGGTATTAAATTAGTAACAAACCTCGAATTGTGCATTTTCTTCATCCACAAGAATTGACTGGAAACTCAAGGCATCAATAAGCTGATGCGAAGTACATAGCTTTTGGCAGTTATTGGTGGGAATCAGTACTGTGAATGAAGTGTGATGACTTTACAGAGAGCTGTGAACAGTTTTATTTGACTGATGGAACGAGGTCATCATCTATGCTGTCGATCTGTTTTAAAGGGTTCTGCTGTACTTTGGAGAATCTTAAGAACTGTTGATATTCAGTGTAAAAGAAAAGCAGTAATTTGCTCTTTTCTTACTTGAAATTAGTTAATAACATTTGGATTTGATTTGGTCATTGTGTAGAACATTGTGCTATGAACAATGCCTTCAACCTTTACTTGTGATTTATTAGACTAACCCAGGTGGTGAAATGCTTTTCTAAATTAGCCTGTTTGTAACATTTACTTTAAATAACACTTAAATAATCCCTTAACTCATGATGCGAAAGGAACTGAGCCCCTTCGATTCTGTGATTATATTTTTGTACCTTTCCAAAAGGTTCCCTTCATTTAAAGGAAACGGGTACTGTGTTAGTCTTTTAGGTGGTACTTGAAAAACAAGTTTGTGCTGTGCAGCATGAAAATTATATGCTGTTGGAAAGGGTTATTCGGGCATTCTGAAGCTTTTCACAATAGCTTTCACAATTCACAGTACTAGCTAAATTCTACATGATTACTGTCTGTCATAGTTGCATCAGTAGTAAATGAGTACTGCTGTAATTATAGATAAGTATTGTTGATGCATATTTCCAACATTGCTGTCAACCAAGGATGAACAATTAAGTTCAAGAAAAAAAATGGGTATGACAAATAGAGCAGACAATTGTTGTACCCTTATTCTGGTCAAACCTCAATGCTGCAAGCATGTAAATGTTGGCAATTAAACTTGGTGACACTCTTGAATAGTGTAATTACAATTTGTAAATGGATAATTATATAGAAGTACCACAGTGAAAGATCACAAACAGATGGTATTTTTCTGAGGCGGCACTATTAATTGCAACTAATTTTGGAACGTGAAAGTCACAGAGGAATTAAACCGCATCCAAGTAGAATTGCTGGATTCCTTTGAAATAACTGTTCCAAACTAAAACTTCTGTCCAAGTTTTGAAGATTAATGGTACGCAGAGATTGCTTACGTTTGGTCTATTGCAATGAGGAGTCATGTGATTTTATAATATTTTTTATATCGGCTGCCGCGGTTTGCCCACAAAATGCACGGTTGTTTCTAATTTACAATATATTCCGTGAAGCGCTTTGAGGTGTCTTTGAGAAGCGATAAGGTGCTATATCAAATGCAAGGATTATTATTATATTGCTACTCCTGCTTTGGTTACAGGTAGATGATTTATATCTGCAGTTCTCTATTCAGATTTCTGATGTTGCCACAGTGGAATTCTACCTAGTGAAGATTATACACTTCTACATAGGAAGGGGAAGACAAAAAAAACCTGACAAACTCAGAATTAATTAGTGTAATTTATGTAGCATTAACTTGTAACCTGGCTGTATCATCCAACAGCATGTTCAAGTAAACTGTGAACAGCAGAGATGTTCTGTTTGGGGGGCCCAGGCTTTCTCAACCTTTTTTGATACGAGTTTCTTCTTAAAATACGTTGCAATCCGTTAGCAAACGAGCCCATCGGGTCAATCAATGTAAAGAGATTCTTTGGTATGGGTCGATCACAGACTGGCCTCAGCCCTGTGGTCAAGAACATCTGCTAGCCGAAGTAACAGCAACAACAAATTACATTTGTGTAGTGCCTTTCACGTCTGGGAGAACGTCCCAAGGGCGCTGGACAGTACTGTCGATATTCCCCCCCTCCCTCCCCATAAAACTCGTACAGGGGTTTTAAAAAAAACAAGAGAAATCAACATTTGTCCTCTCGCCTTCCTCCCACTCGGGTTCCATGTCATGCACTGTTCACAGACACGCTGAGAGCCTCCTCCAAGCAAGGTCTCTGCTGATGCCAGCATTGCACCGACTGCAAGGAGGTGTGCAAGATCGTGAGGTGACTCACACGCTCATTTCCTTTCCTCCCTTTCATGCCCCAGTTGAGATCAGGATCTCGCTGTGAGGAGAGTGGAGCGTGTGAGCACGTTTCAATGGTCGCACGCTGTGCTCCTGTCACCCACCTACTTCAGAAGTCATTAAAACTGCAGACAAACACCGATGTGGTACAGAAATGCCACTTCTCACCACCTGATCTCTGATCCTTCTGAACATTTTACAGGTGACCTTCCATTGGATTACAAGCTGCTGCCATGGATTTATTTGTGCTACTGAATTTGGAATACATGGACGACGTTTGCAAGGTTGGCAAGTCGAGAGGGAGAGAACGAGAGAGAGAGAGAGGACCTAACTGAAGCCTATTAAAACATTTTGTTCTGGAGAGAATTCCTTTAACTCGATTTTTCTTTTTGTTGGCCATCGTTTAAAAGTTGCGTTGTGTTGTCTTTTAACTTGATGTTCTGTCTGTATGCATGTTATTTTCAGTATAATACCTGCCAACGGTTTGCTCTTTAATAAGCACAATGTGCTGTACGCTGCAAACCCATGGAGCACATTTTGTGGCCAGACACCCACGTCTGCTACAGACTGTCTGCAAACGTTCTGTCTTCACCTTTACGGCAACAAACAATATTTGTATATTATGTATACACTATTCTAGTGATTGTGTGTAATTAAAATCAGCCGTCGTTTAGTTTCCTGATTAAAACTATCCAGTGCAGCATCTTGTGGTTACTTCATGATGTTTTTAAACATTGCGAGGGTTTGTCCTCACAAGATGAAATTAGGTTGAAATTGTACAACTGCAGGAGATTTCTATTTCCACGGACACTTATGTTTAGTCATAAATTTTCAAAATTGCATTCGAATTTTTTATCTGCTGTATTCTACCAGTGTAATCTTTTTCTAAATAAATGGATAGTTTTCTCAGTGGGTCATATGTTTTAGTGGGCAATTTGCTTATTATTCGTGTGCTTTACTGTTGAATTAAAAGGTACTAATTGACACCTTCAAGTATGGGGTGGAAATAAGTGAAATTGACCTTGATTACTATAAGCGTGGAAGACTAACATGACCAAAATAGCAGCAACATCCAAACACCATCTAAAATGCCCTATAATTTTTCCTAAGAGGCTCTGGAATTCCAGTTAGAAGCTGATGTAGATTTAATATGAAATGTGCGACAGACATGTAATAAATCCATCATTTCTGGTGTCCGTTGCTACCTTCGGGAAGAGACGAGTGAGATCACTAACCCTTGGTGACTTGGATAGCAAAAATGTGCCTGGGAATGAATCCACATGTCAGGTACTCAAGGAAAGTACTATCCTTTGAGGAGCTAATTGCCAGCATCAGATGGACTTGGATGAAGTTAAATTTAATGATCTGTTTAGTGTTTTATTTTCCACCAATGTGCAGATTGCTGTGCTGGTGTAACTGGTTAAAGTCCAGCAGTTATCCCAACACATGTTCTGGGTTCCCCAAACCTTGGTTCTTCCCAAGGTGCATCTAATAACTCATGGAGACAGACGAGCAGGATGTGACTCCAGGGAACAAATGCGCATTCCTTTCGAGACACGGAGAAATTTGCGCAGAGAAATATGTAGAAGTCTGCTATTTGGGTATGCTTCAGCATGGTTTCCACATGGGTTTCAACATGTCAGGCAACGAAAAAAAGACCTACTCATCTGCTTTTGGATTATTGCTAATGGAGAAGAATGAAGATTTGAATTGCTCAGAAGTAGTTTAGATTCTTCTGTGACACGTCGGTTCATTGCTGTGGAGTCAACATTTCAGTGGTTTTCCCATTCAGCTGACATGGTGATTGCATCTCAGTGCACTGGAGAAAACTGCAAGGTTCAAAATCAGATGGTCATTCATAAAACTACACAGAATAGGGATCGAGGCTCCAAGACCTGATTGAATGTGTCCAAGCATATTCACCACAAAGATGACCGTACAGAAGGGCGGCAAACTACAGCAGAACATTTTAATAGGTTTTCGTGCACGAGGCTGACTGCTACCTGACAGGAAAATAACTCCCCCCCCCCCCCAAAAAACCTCAGTCGCGACTGGAGAACAGAACTTATTGGAACAAGTGCATTATTGCCACACTTGAAATGAGAGGAACGTACTGCTCTTGGGAATGCCTCCAAATTAAGTCTGTGTTACAGCAAGGACAACTATCCTTGACATTTCACATATAGAGTTCAAAATTCTGTGCAAATTATGCATGCAGCGGACATGGTATAAAAATCAATTATGCTTGTATTAATTGAGGTAAGGCACTGAGCAAGTCCCGAAGAGCTTATCTGAAGGACGAACCTGGGAGTAACGACTTAAGATGAGAAAGCGTAGATAAGCCTTGAACGAATGTCCTAATTGTGTCGGGAACTTTTCTTTGATTTACTCTAGATTTGAATGAACCGAGATGACAGGAGTAATTGGCTGGCTGGCTGGAAATAATCAAGGGGCAGGGGAGGAGAAAGGAAATTGTGGAATCGTTCAAACCTTGAATGCAGTACATCTAATATGTGACCCACGATGATTAATGTGTTTAGTTATTTGAACTTTGGATGTGGAATATCCACTTCAATTTACAGCGCTTTGTTTTTTGGGATTCATCACTTTATTGGACTGCACTGTGAGTTTCTTCGGATTGAAATGATTGCAATTGATTTTTTTTTGAAAAAAAAGCAACAGTTTTAGTCAACTGGGTAATATGAGCTCATTGTTGCACTGTGCAGGCATTTTAACCGGGTTTTTATTGAGGTCCTGAACCACAAAAGTTGGGTAAGAAATTTATTTGCTTGGGGGGGTGGGATTTGACTCTTGGACGAAATTGATCGATTCTTTTTACTCATCGAGTTATTTTGTTGTGGGTATTTAACGCTCATTTCACGCGGAAGCTGCCTTAATCGGAATTAATAGAATGCTTGTTCTTGTCTAAGTCGTTCTAAGTCTAAGTTGTTCTAAGTGGTTCTTGCTGTGGTTCTGGAATTTTTATTTCCATGAATCGAGTTGAACATGGACTGCACGTTCTGATTCAACCGTTAACTTGACTGAAGAGGAAGGGTGTTAAGAGCCTGTAATGCAATCGAGGCATTTTACAACCCATGTGAGGAAAGTGATGATCGATGGATCAGGAGCAAGAGTGGCTAGTTACTTTCCTCGCTAAGCCAGAGATATTGAGGCCGTGTGATGGCCTGGGTGAGCATAGCCAATTCACCACTGACCAGTATCATGCCGCGTACTGTAGATATTTGCCCTTTAAACCATCAGAAATTTCAAACGGTGAAACGCTAGATCGTCCGAATGAGCATTTGACGATATACAAGTTTCAAGTCAACGACTCCTTATTTAAACATAAACTTCCAGTTTCACATGGGTTTTGAAAGCACAATCGGTGTCGTTCAATCACTTCAGTGAGTCTCTGTACCATTTTAAAGTGGGGGAAACAAGGAAACTCTTTTGAGACTCGGGCTGACAAAAATCTTTATTTTTTCAAACCAGGACAGCAGTCAGTATCCTGGTTAATCTGTTAAACCAGTCAGTCTGCATTACTGTGAACAAGAAGCAACTCATGCGAATTAGTTTAAGCAAAAGATTTTACAGCCAATAAATCAGACTGAGGTGGATAGATATTTGTTAGGTCAGGGTATTAAGGGGATTTGTGGCGAGGGCGGGTATTTGGACTTGAGGTACAGATCAGCCGTGATCTTAGAGAACGGCGGAACAGACCCAAGGGGCTGAATGGCCTCCTGTTTCTAAGCTTCTATGTTTCTAACCGTCAGGAAAAAACTATTTAGGAAATAAAACTTCTTTTTAAAATGTCAAAACTTAATGCCCAATAATTTGAGTGCTGGCGCTCTCATTCAATCCAGGCATTGATACTACAAATAGGATTTGATTTATTTTATATAGACCCTCGTGTCGTATTTCAAAACCAAACCCGCAGAGAGCAATGATCTCCAATAATAATCATAATAATAATCTTTGCATTTGACATAGCGGCTTATCAAGTCTTCGAGACGTCTCAAATCGCTTCACAGAATATACTGGAAAGTGAATTGACTGTGTATTTTAGTGCATTCAACGAAGTGGTGAGGTGCCCATATCAAATGCAGGTACTATCCATCAGACGTTGCAGAGGTTCAATGCAGCGGGTTTTTCTGGAGTCGAAAATCAAAGCGTTCATCATCTGAATGTCGGGAATGATCCATTGCCACCTGACTGGTGTGCGCGAACGGAGGAGAGGCCGTTGATTGAATAAAATTAGAGGTGCAGACCTCTAATGCTATCCTAATGGCAAAAAAAAGATGCAGAATCAGGAAATAAACACTCATTTGACACCTGTTATTGTTTCTGAGCCCAAGTTACAAGGTCTTGTTTGTTTGCCACTGAGAGGAGGCGCAACTTATGCTTGTGACAGACCAGGGATCTGCACGCTATCAATTCACCTGCTCCGCGACGCTACCCGGCTTGAAGGGCTCTACACAAATGCAAGCTGTTGTTGTTTGCGGGGCGTTGCACATCAAACGGCTGGAGCTGAAGGCGGAGGCGAAGAGAACGGAAGGGATTCCGCACAAGGACTTGCGGAGGATTTTTGGGGGAGAGAGAGTGTGAAGGTCGCACTTCACAAAAGCGGACACATTGGACCTGAATTGGATCTCGTAGAGGTCACACTAGTCCGCATTGGTGTAAACGTGACCGGATTGCTTCTGCAAGTAAAATTATGAGTCCTCCACACTTTTCATCGTAACACAGTCCTTCCCCCCCACCCGCCACCCCCCCACCCCGCACTTTTGCATTTGCTCCCCTGGAGCTACAGCACCGGGTTTGTGGCTCGGAAGCGAATGGTCTTTCTGAAGACCCCAGAAACACCACCGAAACAGATATCTTTCGTGTTTAGTTTGTTTAAAAAAAGAGAGAAGGGATTTTATTCGGTTTCAATACTTTTTTACTTAGAGGAAGCCAAAGAGGGCCTCACAATGTCATAGAAGTTTAAAAAATAAATGCCAAGGGACGAGACAGCAGTATTTGTCGACCTGATATGATTCTGAAAGCAGAGGAGCAGGAAAACACAGTACCAAGGGGCTATCATCAGTCTTCCCGATTTAACAGCTATAAAGTAGAACAGGCAGCAAGGGACTTCTGGAGCTCGGAAACGCAGCATAATAGTTAGTACAAAGAGTAGCTGTGGTGGAGACTCAGGAGGCTTTTCACATCTCTAATGTGACCACACTTCTGTGCTTTATTCTGCCCAGCAAGCAACTCTTCTACGCTTCATCTGACACTGATGACTCAAAGCTAACGACATTGATGAATGTCAACGGTTAGGTTAGTCTAGCAGCCCATCATCTGATCGCACCAGGACCTTGATATCTATTGCTCTGATGTGATGGCTGAAAACTGCAAGTCGGAAATAGAGGCTTTTGGCTTAGGCAGCAGTTTGGTTCAGTGGAAAGGGGGGAGAGGGATGGTAGGGTGGGGGAGAAGGGGTAGGGTGGGGGAGAAGGGGTAGGGTGTGGGAGAGGGATGGTAGGGTGGGAGAGAGGCGTGGGAGAGAGGAATGGGAGGGTGGGGGAAGAGGCTGAGGTCAGTTATTTTTGATGGAAGGAGTTACATTTTTGTTTTTCCTTTTTTTTAAAAAAAATGTTAAAGTTGATTTTAATTAACAAAAGGTTTATTCAGTACAATACCTTCCTGCTTCGCTGTAAAATTCTACGATTTTACATTTGGAAAAAAAACATGAAAATGGTTACGTGGGGGAGAGCAAGGGTAGCAGACTAAACAGATAGCTCCGACAGTGAACAGCGCAATTGCAATGGACCTCATGGCTATGGTATTCATTGCTGTGGTAATCTATGATTCTACTTTAACTGTTTCTTGGGGTATTCAGCCTAGGAAATGTACCAAATTATTACAATAATATAATAA